AAGTTAATTAGTGGGGTTTCGACTGTAATCATTTCACTAAACCTTTTATGCTTCAGCAACCTTCAGTGACGTGATTTTGATTGAAAGGGTGAAAGCAGGAAATAGAACACAAGTTACTCATATCTCATTATTATAAATGAAATTTATGACTATTCTTGAAATGCAAGAAAAATGGTTTGGACTCTCTAGGGTTGACAGAATTGCAGTCAACCCAACTTTCATCATCGATGGAAAACTACAACCTCTGATCAGTGCCTTCTTTCAAAACGAGTATGCACTTAGTTTGGTGTAAAAGATACAAATCCATTTATAATCATGCAGTTGATTAATTCTCTAATCATGGTAGATGGTGATGAAAATCTCCATTGTATAATTAACAAAGAATATCTTAATTTTGATTGTATAGATTGAATATGTCATGATAATCATATCTATTTCTGATATGATCTAGGTAAAAATAATAAAATAAAGAGGCTATTTGAATATAAGGTATAAAGAATAATACCGTAGTGTTTCCACCTTCTTCAGATGTATGCCATGAATAAAGAGAAAAAAGGAACAAATCAATATGTTTAAATACAAAATTTAAACATTATTATATATTTAAAATTAATTAATTTTAAAAAACCTATTTTTAATTTATTTTCTAAAAATAAAAAATAATTACTTTTTAGAATAAATTAAAATTAAACTCGTACTTATTATTTGTACGGACCAATTACAAATTTCAAAGAAAATTTAAAAATATTTCGTTGACTATTAAAAGAGAATATTTTGAACTATTTTTTATATTTAAATTTTGGAGTATTTATTTTTTAAAATTTGATAATAATAATAATTATTGTAATATTTTAAAAGTTAAAAAATATTTATATTTTTTAAAGAAAGATCATAATCTTTTCTATTTATTATATATATTGAATATAATATCAATTGTGTTAATTATTATACGTGTGTGAAGGACATTAAATATTAAAGGAAGCATAGAAATTACTTATATATAATATGACATTTAGTAAAAAAAAAATTAGTAATTTAAATATAGTATATATGAAAAAATAATTAGCCAGGTAGCCACGCTTCATTTTCACAAGTCACAACCGCTCTGACATTGAGATCTTTGTCCAGACATGCGTGAGCTGAAGTTTTAGAGTTAGGGATTATTTGAGAGGATTAATTTTGAGGGAAAGAGAAGAAACTTAATAAATGGCAATTTTTTATTTTAAAATTAATAAAGTTATGTATTTATTTATGATGATAAATAATTAATTTGTATATTACATTTATATCAATCTATTATTTTATATATTAGTTTTTAAAAATTATTAAATCAAAAAATATTTTTTTCGCTCTCACATAAAAAATTATCTTTCTATGTGATAGGTGAAATATATATATATATATATATATATATATATATTAAAAAAACACTTAATATTATGTATTTTTAATGGAACTGAAGAAACTAGCAGTGGGGCCCATATTTGTTAAACGTAACCCGTGACCCTCTAATCTGTAAATGTTTCATGCAATGATTGCTATTATATTGTAAAGATTAGCTTAGCGGAAGAGGTTCCATGTGAATATGAAAGGACCCAAGCGCGTGGAAAACTTTGATTTGCTTTTAATAGTAATTAGGAGTCACTCTCACGGGCTAATCTGGATTGGATTTATCTACCAAATATATTTTCAAGTCAATAATTATATACTTTCCAGAAAGGAAGGTGCTATTCAGAATTCTTTTTTGACTTAAGAATTTTTTTAATTCTTTATTTATTTAAATATATTTTAAATATTAATCTCTATAGCCATTTAAAATTAATAAAATTATTTATTTGACACATTAGGTTTTAATTTTACATATAAAATAACATATCACTTTTTTTAAAAAATTATGTAACTATTATGAACAAAATTGTTTATAATTCATCTCCTTCTATAAACAATTTAAACTTATCATTTTATCTCTTGTCGATCTTCAACCTTCATTGATGTTCACTCTTTAATCTTTAATACTGATTCAATTAAGTATCAATTTTTTAAAGTACGTTGAAAAAATATATAATAAAATTTTAATATAATACTCTTTTATTAAAAAATAAATTTTAATATATTAATAATATAAAATATTATACTTTTTTTAATGATTTTTTATTTATTCATTTTTATTAGGTGACGCACGTATTAAAAAATCAGATGTAAGAATTGTAGAACATCTTCGAATCAATCAGGGCAGCAGATTATTGTGACTTCTGCTTCAAGCTTCAACTTGCAGGTTTCTATTCTAGGCTCCTAATTAAGTAGGCTTCTCTGATTTTCTTTTTCAATTCTTAAGAATTAAGATTTTCTGACGTAGACAAAACCAAGTTGTTAAGAACAAAACTTTAACGTATGTACTGAAATTAAGTTTTCACTAGCTAGTTCATCTTTTCATTGTTCACGAGTTTGACTATATATATATACACACACACGTTGCCTATCTTGAAAGGAACTGCAAAAAGATATCAATCAGAATCAGAATGATTGAACTAAATTAATATCTCCAGTGCTTAGAAAAACCGGGAAATGATATTTGTATTCATGTTGTAAAGGATCATTATTAATTAACGAAAGCTTTAGAGGTTAAAAATTTGACGATAATTCTATTGGAGACATTAATTTAATTTCTACCTTTCTAAAAATATAATTTTATACATTTTCTAAAGTTCTTCCAAAATAATTTTATAAGAAAAAATTATAAACATAAAACAAATTCAGTCAAACACATTGCTAAATAAGACTTGATTCATGGATTATCTGACAACTTGTTAAATATTCAATAAAATTTATGTGTTTTACAAAACAAACAAAATCAAACTTAATTTCACATTAAAATATTATAAATATTTAAATTAATATGTCTCTGTGAAAAATAATAATAAACTATATATTATTTAGTAAATTATAACTTTCTTTGGATTAAAGAATTGCAGTTATTTAATAAATTTGCATGTTTAAAGTTTTTATTTTTAAAATTTTTTCAATATAGGAATATTTGTTAATTAAACCAACTAAGAATTACCCTATTAAACGAATAAAAATTGACCTTGATCCAATTTGGTGTTGGATAGTACAATCGTTATTGCTGTGTCCTTTAGCCAGTGGTAGCTACAATTAGGGCCGTAAAAAAGTCAACTGAATCGAACGATTAAACTTTATATCTTTGACTTATTGAAAAATAATAATAAGATTGATGTAACGTTAAAATAAGATTATTTACATTATTAATTAATTAAAGCATATAATAAATATAACTATGAAGTTAAATAATATAAAAACTAATAATTTTTACTAACAATAATCAATGAATAAATAATAGAGTAATATATTTGTCTTATCACTGTGTTTTAATAAAATTTAAGATATTATATCAATTTATTCTACTCATTTAAATAATTTTACTTTACAGTTTGACTTTAATTTAGTTAAAAAAATTTACATTTGAACTATTGTTTTAAATAATATATATAAGATAATAATAAATAAATAATAATTTTTAAGCAAATATAATAATTATAATTATAACTATTTAAATAATACATAAAATTATATAAATTTTTCATAAATTATTAATTTTAAATTTATAAAGCTTAGATACGATTCACTTAAAAAAATTTAATTTTAAAATTAATTATTTAACTAAATAAAAGAATTTAATTGAGTTATTGAACACTTAATGAACTTAAGGTTGGGATAATTCATGGAAGTGTGTTATTGGCTGTTAACCCGTTAATATCCTGAGTTTTGTTGGCAATTGTTAGAAATAGGGAAAAAAGAAAAGAAAAGAGAAGAGGGTTTAAACATTTTTAAATGTCTTTTAAAGTTTTTTTTGGTATTTTAGATTTTTTTTATTTTAAAGAGTTTTAATATCCAAATAAAAAAATTAACCCTTTTTCTTTCTTTTTCTTTAGTGGCCAGAAGTTCTTGACAGCAGGAGCAACTGTGGTTGTCCCAAAACTTCTTTTACTAATAATTTTTTATATAAAAAATATTTTTCAACCCCTTCAATATCAATCATTCTACCTCAAGTGATTTCTTTGTTTTAGTTTTACTTTTATATTTTATTTTTATCAATATATTATTCTGAAAGTTTGATAAAATAGTGTATAACTAAGATAATTTTTAATTAAATAATTTTAGCCAACAGTCAGTGGTTTCCTTAAATAAAAAAAATTAAGTCAAAATCTGCCACTACTTCTCTTATCCCTTTAAACCTGAAAACAAAACCTTATTAGAGGTCACAAAATATAACTAAACGGGTCTTATATAATCAAGTGACTGAAGCAAGCGTAGTTGATTTTCATTTCCGATATTTCAGATTTTCACATATTTTAATACTTTTTTATCATCATTATTCTTTTACTCTCTATTTATTATATTTTTTTATTTCTTTTTTTTTTCACTCCCTCATTTAATAGGGTGTATAAATCTCAAATGGATGTTAAAAAATTAATTTTCCTTAATTTTCTACAAACTGAGGAACTTTGCAAGTAGCAACATATAAATAAATAAATAAGAAGAAACCTCTAATTGGACACTATTCCACGTGCAAAAGGAGAATTTTGACAAAATCGGCGATTCCATTGATATTAACGTGGAATCGAGGTGTCGATAGGTGCAAAACTTTACTATGGGTCCATGGATTAATGCCCCAAAAAACCTCACAAGCATCCAAAGCCTAATTCAAGGGTTGTTTCTCTGCCAGCTAGCTATAACTCATGTTTTTACATTATAGTTGTTCTTTCTTCATTAGCTTGATTTCTCCACAACCCTACTTAATATTTTAATGATGATTATCCCTCGGGTCAGTTCTTACGCAACTCACCACACTTGTAGTTCCAAAACCCCAACATAACACTATATAAACCCCCCCATTCAATACAACACCACCCATCCACAAACACTTCATTCTTAAACTCTAGTAGAAAACTGAAACACTAGCTACTACAGGAGTTTAAGATATGGCCACCAAAACTAGCTCCTCCGTTGCTTTTTTCCTCACCCTCAACATCCTCTTCTTTGCACTTGTCTCTGCTTGCAGCACGTGCTATGGTCCAACTCCAAACCCAAGGCCGAATCCCAGGCCAAGGCCAAGGCCCAGCCCTTCAGGTGGTTCAAGCCCATCGGGTGGCTCTAGCCCATCTGGAGGGTCTAGTCCTTCAGGTGGCTCCACCCCCTCGGGTGGTTCTAGCCCTTCAGGAGGCACGTGCCCTCGTGATGCACTCAAACTTGGGGTATGCGCAAATGTGCTAAACGGGTTGGTGAATGTGACATTGGGTCAACCACCAGTGACCCCTTGCTGCTCCCTTCTCGACGGCCTCGTTGACCTTGAGGCGGCAGTGTGCCTCTGCACTGCACTCAGAGCAAACATTCTGGGCATTAACCTTAACCTTCCCATCTCACTCAGCTTGCTCCTTAACGTTTGCTCAAGACAAGTCCCACGTAACTTCCAGTGTGCCTAATCATGGCTTATACGCAACACACCGTATCTTCTATTGTTTCGTGTTTGCTAGTTGTGCCTTTCCATTATTGCCCTTTTTTTCATTTCCATTTACAGGCGTTTGTGATATTCTTGTACGTGCATGGATGATTAACTTCTCGTTATTCTGTCGCTTTAGTGTTTGTTTTATCCTTTCAAAGTGTCAAAGCAAATAAATTTCCTATGCTTGCTCATGCATGTAAAGCAAAAGGAATCAAACATGATGGTGTTATGTATTACATGGGGAAATTATTAATGTTACAAATACTTATTTGTTTTATTGTTGTTGCCTTTTCCTTAAATTTGTCTTTTTGGTTAATGAGATCAGCAGATAGATGATTAAGTAAATTACTTTGCCCTGTACGGTCAGTGCCCAACCAGAGGAAAACAAATTCAGGGAGAGAATTCAAATTAAACGAAAGCCAACACTGGCATATGAGCGCTGCAACGAGCCCGTGACTATGGTACTGTACCACTCCACATGCATGCACTATTATTTTATATATTTATAAAAAAATCTGATTGATTAGCTAATTAAATCAAATCAAAATAATCGGTGATCGATTTAGTGCTTTTGGCTAACTCCTCCATTTGAATATGCATTGCGTTGTGCCTTTTTGGTTTTTAATGGAAATGAATGTCAGGGATATTCAAAGACAGACATTGTGTGTGTTGTGCCAAATTCCTATACATATGTGCAAGTGTCTACGTGTTTGTATGAATTCATTAACAATATTTAGTTCTGCATACCTGAAACCATTTGGCACTTAGTATTTTTTTTCCCGATCCTGTTGCTCTTGAAATTAAAAATAAAAGAATAAAATAACTACTTACTAACGCACATATCCAGTGCTTTGTTCTATGGACCTTTACATCACACCTGATTTTACTATTTTTTATTTTGTTGAATATAAGTACATTGGTTAGGATAAAACTAAAATATAATTATTTTTAAGTGTGTTTAGTATTATATTTTGATCAGAACTAAAATTTGAATTTAGTAACGTGTAAAAAAAACGTAATTGATAAATTTTTATTAAAATAAAATTTAAATTTAAAATAATATAAAAATAAAGAAAGAATTACATTTAAATTTTGTCCCATTAATTACTAAGGTTTATGCGACAAGCTTTTCGATTTTCGAAGTATGCAATTATTTTTAATCATAAATACATAATATTGGAACATATTTTATAAGTGTGTTTTCGGAATGACTTCCTGGTGTGCGTGTTAGTAAAGGAAAATAGTTTTTTTTTTTGGTTTTAGAAAATATTTTTAAAATGTGTATATAAAAAGATAAAAGATTTTAAAGACATAAAAATAATTATACACAATATTATGTGCACTATCAATTTTCAAATATTCAAATAACAAAACTCTAAGATGTATATATAAAAGAGAGATTTAACTCCTTATTATTAAGTTACAGAGATATCATTCATCAGTGTTTGTGACATTAAAGTTGAAACTTGGTCATAAAACTTAACCACAAATTTTGTTGATATATTTTCTAATACAAAATAACATTTCATCTTAAGCGCGCAGTTGTTGCTAATTTTAATTAGTTATCAATATAAAAGTAATTGTTATTGAGAAAAAATCTCCTATTTTGATTAAAAAATGACACCCACAAACTGTTATAAATTGAAAAGTTTTTTGGTGTGTTAGCTTTTTATGAAATAACTTCTTCTATAGTTTTTTGTTTTCTATTAAATATACTCTTCTTTAAATCTTACAAATCATATTTTAATTTTTATTATTTTAAATTATTTGTTATGATAATAATATTTTTATAGTGTTTTAATTATTTATTTAGTGAATTTTCATTGTTTTTCTCCTAATATTTCAAATTTTAAATGAATTTTTTAGATTATATATTAATATCCTAATTTTCTTTCCTTTCCTAAATCATCCTTCGGAAACAGAAAGATTCTTTATTTCTTCCATTTGATTTTTTACTTTCTTTTTCTTTCAATTATGTTAACTTTAATTGTAAAAGGGCGGAGGATAAATAATTGATAGCAACAAAATTTAATAAAAAAATATTTATTGTACTTTTTTAAAAATTTAATATAATAAATACATAATTTTTTTTTACATTTTTCCTATTTATAAATGCATAATCTAAGAATAAGTTAACAAAAGATATAATTAAAAATAATGTTGAAAGGTCAGAATTCTTTATGAATTTCTTTAATGATGAGTTAATTGGTAAAAACTATCTTTCATCAATGTTTTGACATATTGTTATTTGTTATCATGTCATTTTTTATTTTGACTAAAACAAAGAAAATAAATGTTAACGCGTTGAAATGTTACAAGTTAAATTAATTAATAATTATACTGTTTTCTGATTTTTTGTGTGTGTACAATTTGAATAAAACAAAATTATAACAAACAAATGTTATTCATAATATTTTTATAAAAATTATGAAAAGTTGGACCTGCATTTATATTTTTTAAGTACAATATTATTTATTTATTATTTTTCTGGAGTTCTTACTGCCACTACATTGAGACCCAACAAAATTTGAGCCTGCTAATTCTGTGACATGCACCACAGTAAACTAAGTCCCTTAAAGTGCACCGATACCAGTAATTCGAATTTGGATGCATTTAAATTTAATATCAGCCCATTTCTTTTCTTTTCTTTTTTGGATTAATATCAGCCCATTTCTCTATATCTGTATTGTATAAATTTATAAGTCATTTATTTGAAAACTCAATTAGGTGTCAAATTTTTATTCAACAGCTTCTTTTACACTCTTTTTAAATATTTTTAAAATGATATAAGATAATTATTATTAGAAAACTTTAAAAAAATATTACTGAATTTGAAATTGAAAAAAAAAGAGTATATTACTATAATGAGAAGTGATTGAAAATTGAAATGGTACAAGAAGATATAATTTAAGCTGAGTGTTAATCACTTCAAATATATATCAACGAAATAAATAAGATATGATTTTTTTATATTAGTATAGGTCTAAAAAAATTTATATTTATCTTATTTTTTTTATTTAATTTACATTTAATATATTATAATTTATTATTTAATAGTCACTTAACTCACTGTTAAATATAAGTTAAATAAAAAGATAAGTATAAATTTTTTTAGATAAAAATATCATTTTCCTGCAATGTATTGAAAAACTCTCACATTTGTTATAGTATTCCTAATAATAACTTTCCTATCTGACTTTTCATTTTACGTCTAATTCCTATTTCTTATTTCTTATATTTCAAACCTCAAAATTAGCTGGACGTGCACTTGAACCTGTGTCAAATAGAACATGTGAGATTAATATATATAATTTATTTAAGTTATTTGATATTTTTTTTTTACATGTGAGATTAATTATCCTACCTATTTATTTAAATATTTTTTATTAAGTAAATCAATTTTATACAAAAATTAAATTAATGGATACTGTATTTTATTTTAACATGTAATATATATTCAAAATATAAGTAAATATAAAATTTTGGATAATATATCTACAAATTTTTAATTTTTTTTCTGAGATTAGGAGGAATAATTTTTAGCATATAATTATATATAAATTTATCGAGATATAATTTTATTTAAAGTTAGGGTCACATTCTTTTTAGGAAAAAAAAAACTCTTCTTTTTTATATTTTAAGGAAAAAATTACAAGGTGTTCTCAAGTGTAAAGAGTTTAAGATTAATCTTTGCTAGTTGTGACTACCACTTACATGAGAGAATATGTACATAATAGGGTTCAAACATATAACTTTCTAATAAATAGATTGATTCTGCACATGTAAACGCAATAAAACCTTGTAGTATTCAGTTAATCTTTTAAATTAAAGACCATTTCATTTAAGTTTTTGTGTACGTATGCGTATTTGTGTATATATATAAAATATATTTAGTGAAAAAAATTGTTTTCTATAAGAATAAAATAATATATATTATATAACCATGCTCCAATAATGCTATGTCATTACTTTAAAAAATACCTTTTCTTGGTGTTAATTATTCTTACGCAATCAAAGATTGTCATTTACTAATGAAAGAAAAAAAATTACACATTCAAACTATCTTTGCTAGCATACTTTGTTAAGTTTAATTGATCGATTAGTACATGGATATAGAGGTTTATCCTAATAGTTGACAGATTACACAAATATATATGATACATTGATCTTTTATATCAATAAAATTATACATAAATATAATATAAAATATTATTAGTGAAAATTTATAATATCTATATTAATAATATAGTTTTTAAAAATTATGTTAGCAATATAAGTAATAATATGTTATATTATTTGTCAAGATTTTATGGTCTCAATTTAGATTTAAGATAAGTTGGAATAAATAAGTCAAATAATATTTTTAAAATTTTATTTAATTAAAAACGTCAAATCTAAAGTTATTTAAAAGATTTTTTAAGTTTAACAAGTTTTTTTATTTAAATAATATTGCTACTACTAATAATAATATAATTATTATAGTAAAAAATTTAATTGTTATCAATGTAATACTTTAAACACATATGTTTATTTAATTTAAAAATTTAACTTTATTAATTAACATGTAAGTTTATATTTATTGAACAGCTGAAAAGTTGTCACATAATTTCGTTTCATAATTTCTGATTTTTCTCTCATTAGATATGACTCTATCACATTCAATTTTTTTTTTTTTGCATGAAACAATTATAAATTATTTTTAAAATCTTATATATTATATGAGATAAAAATTTATAACATCTTGCATTAGCCTCCAAATACATAACTTAAATGTGATATGATGTAAAATAACTAAGTATGCATTTAAAGATAATGTAGGGAATCAAAATTTCATCAATTATATAATAATAAAAATTATATAATAATTTATAACTACTCACTAAAAAAATTTGTTCTTGAATTATCCAATTTAAATAATTCAAAATTTAATATTAAATTTTGAATAAAATACCCAAGTTTTACTCAAATGAAAATGAGTGTTCTAAGGTAGTTATTATCATTAATATAAACAAATCAACTCGTTCAGTAGTTAATAAGTTAGTTTCTATTCTACGTTAATTAAACAATATTCACTGTTTATTCCATTTAAGATAGATGTATAAAAAAAATAGTTTTATATGCTATCATTTTTATATGTATTTGTTAGCTAATAATTTTAAACTTATAATATTAAACATTAATGCAATGGTAATTATATACAAAATATTCTAATTCTAAAAGTTCTAATCAAACATATTGTGTAAAACAGTAAAGATTAAAAAACTTTATGAGTTAAATCCATTTTGCCAAACATAATACAATAGACTCTAAATTAGTCATTCAACTTATTCTTGAGATTTACAAAGTTGTTATCCATTTCATTCTTTAGTAAGAAAAATTGAAGAGTTTAATAATCTTGTAAAATTATTTAGGTTTATGATGTATTTAAGAAAATAAAAAAATAAGTTAATTTTTTCATGAGTAAAATACATTTAGAAAATAATGAAAGTTAATAATACGTTTCTTTCTATTTTTTTATTTAAAAAAACTTTTTTAAACGAACGTGAGTCTTTTTTTTCTTCTTTCTCTTTCTCTTCTAAACTTGCTTTTTTCCCAGTGAGAATATTTATGAAATATTTTTGTTTAGAACGGTGGGTTAGTATATTTTTTTTACAGGGTTTTAGCCCCATGTAATAGAAGAAAAAAAAAAGTTGCTGTAAACCTACAAGTTATAGAGGTAATTAATAATACGACGATTTGGTAGGTACGCATTTTCCTTTAGTTTAGCAGTCAGTGGAGGGGCTATAGAATTTCGATATTTTTTATTAAAAAATATACTTGTCATACTAAATTTATAAAATGTGATAAATCTTTTTTAACAAAATCTTATTATTATTATTAATTGTTTAAACTCAAAATTAAAAAGTTAATCAAATATTTTTCTTAATTTAATAGGTATATGAGAATAAATAATTGTACTAGGTGATCAGTAAGAAGGTTTAATACTTCGTTGATACCTTTAAGTTACTCACAATGTGATATCTGAGTTGGACCACAAATGCAATATGCTAAATAACATAAGCATGTACACTTAATACTTCATGCATGCTCATAATAGTTTCCGTACTACATAATTTCATTCTCCTACCTTAACATTATGTTACCTATATTCAATTTTCATATAACTAGCAGAAATCATTATATAAGTTATATAATTTATTTATTATTATTATTTTATTAATATAAACACGTTCACTCTCAATTATTAATAAAATATTGATGTTTAAAAAAAATATACATATAAGATGAATTATAAATTTTATTAATTTAAGTTGTAATAAATTATTATAAGTTATTTTTTTCTTTTAAAAGGTTAAATCCACCGAAATTAGTGGCTGCGACAGGGTTTAGAGATAAAAGATGTCGTAAATTTCCAACCACAATAAGTGATACTGGGGACCCGCTATTCCACGTGCTAAAAGTTAGCGTCTCCATTTGATAATTTCGGGGATTCCAACGATGATACAGGGGAATTGAGTCACTGAATGAGTGCAAAACATTGCTTTTGACCCACAGATAGATGGCAGTACTTACCTCAGAAGTCACGAGCATTCCAAACCCAATTTAAAGGCTCTGCCAGCTTAAATTCTCATGTTCACACTTGCTTTCATTAGCTTAATATTTATTTACTTTAAAATCTTAATTTTAATATACTATTAAGATAATAATTTTATTCTGTTAATTAATTTAAATATATAATAAATAATATTAATTTCAACTTAATTATTACAAAGTTAATACTTTTTACTCATATAACAATACATGATTAAATTGAATAATCATAATAATAAAGACTTCTACATTATTGGCATATTTTAATTAAATTTTTAATAAATCGGACTATTTTATACCTAAGACTTTATTAATTTTATTCTTTAATAAAAATTAATGTTTCTGCTTAGTAATTATTCTTTATTTTAATTACCGCAATAAAAGCAATAATTATGAAAATCAAATATTAATATTGATTGAAAAATTACACTAACAATGTTTATAATATTATGGTTAAGTTTAATCTACTTTTAAAAGAAAGATAAAATCTACAGGTAATTCCTCTCAATCATATGTTTTATTTTGTTTTTTTACAATCTTTTGAGTAATTTTGTAAATTTAAATTAACATTTTTTCTTTAATTAGCTATTTAATGGACATTTGAAACAGTCTTTTTAATCTTGTGATAATTACTTACGACTTGCTCATAAATTTTATTTAACTTTTTTTAATAAATATTATGGTAAATTTATCAAAATAAATTCTAACTTATTTTATTAAACTCATAATTATATTTATAAATAAAATATTTTAATTTAATAAGAGGCTGTTGAATAATAAAGTAGCGTATACAAAAGTATAATTGAAATTTTTATTTTTAAAACTTTAATTAATGTTTAAATTTATTTAATTAATCTTAAATGTAATGAGATATTTATAAATCACTGATAAATAATTTTTATCACTTAAATTATTTTTTAAAATTTTTTGAAAATTAAAGGCTTTAAATACTTATATTTTTATTTAGTTTCTACTTTTATTATTAATAAAATATTCTATTATTAGTTGAATTAATATTTTCTTAAATGTTTTAATTTAAATATTTATATTTTACGTATATATAACCGTTTTTATACAGTACAAGAAATACTTGGTGATTTTATATATATATATATATACTCGTGAAGCCACTTGGTCCTGCCAAAGCACTATATATGAACCACAACGCATCCACAGGAAATGAATCCCATCCTCATAATCACTCTTCTCAAGTTCTCTTAAGATCTAGTAGTTAATAGCAATAATAGCATTCGCTAGTAGTAACTAGTAATATAACCTTGCGCTAGGTAGCTACAGCAGTTTAAGCTAAATGGCTTCCAAAACTTGTTCCTCATCACTTGCTCTTTTCCTCACACTCAACCTTCTCTTCTTTGCACTTGTCTCGGCTTGTGGTAGTAATTGTAAATGTCCTGGTCCATACCCAAATCCCTGCCCTTCATCAAGTGGCACTTGCCCTCGTGATGCACTCAAACTAGGGGTATGCGCCAATGTGCTAAACGGGTTGCTGAACGTGACTTTGGGTCAACCACCAGTGACCCCTTGTTGTTCCCTCCTTGAAGGCCTTGCTGACCTCGAAGCTGCAGTGTGCCTTTGCACTGCCCTTAAAGCAAACATTTTGGGCATTAACCTTAACCTTCCCATATCACTCAGCTTGCTCCTCAATGTTTGCTCAAGGCAAGTCCCACATGACTTTCAATGTGCCTAATCATCTGCCTTATACACAACGCGTCATATCATCGTATCTACTCTCGCTTCGTGTTTGATTGTGGCTTTTTGTTTCATTATTTTATTGATCAGCGTGTGATTCTTGTACGTGCATGGATGGTTAACTTCTTGTTATTCCTTCCTTTCAGTGTTTTTATAATTGTCTGGTCAGAGTGTTGCAATAAATAAACAAGTTCCCCATGCTTAGCTTACTTATGTATATTGCAAGGGAACCAAAGATGATGAACTAATGTGTTGTTTATTTGATTGAGAAATTGTTATATTTCAAATTAATCCATCTTAATTAATTTATTTTTGCCTTTTTGGTAATGAGATAAGCTGATCAGGTATACTAACAATGACTTGACCCTTCTAATTAACTTCCGTCCAATGGCCAACAAGAGGAAAACAAATTCAGGATAAGATTGAATAAAAGGGATAGCAAACGCATGCGTTTAAGAGGCTGTTACGAATGTGTTTATTCTAACAAACAAGTTTCTTGTACCTCCTCACACGTCCCATAATTCTCACTACTTGTAAAAGCATTTATATTTCCTTTCATTCCTACATAACTACTATATAAACAAAACACGCGCACTACTAGGCTGGATATTGAGCGTACGTGCATACGTCATGTTGATTCGGTCCCTTTTACTCAGCGCAACCGTGTTTTTAGCAATTTTAATGAGTTTTATTAATTAATTTAATTTTTGTCCCTTCTAATTACTTTATCATTAATTCCTTGCTTCTCTTTATTTTCTCATTTTGAGTAAGATTGATGGAGACTTCAACATATTTAAATTTTTTAGTGCATAAATCTTAACGAGTAGTTTTCTTAACTTTGTGAAGTAAATTGAGGCACAAATTGTATTAAAAGTTTACCAATTTTTCACAGCTTATATAATATTCTGTGTGTGTGTGTGTATATAACGAGATGAAATATTCCTAATTAATCAAGTATTGGTTGAATCTGTGGGGAACACTAGAGTTGATGGCATTATTATTTAATTGTTGAATCATTAATTCACCCTCAATTTGATAGACCATGCCTTATGCTCACTACTGGCGGAGAAGTTTATAATGATTTATCAAATTTATGATTGCATAGCTGAAACCATATGGCATCTATTATGTCGTTTTTCCTTTGGACTTACATGCGAGGAATTAAAAATCAAACTACCTATTCAACCCACAACGAGATAAATACATAAATAAGCTACTTTATTGCATTATTGTTACAAATAGGTCGGTTCGGGCCATCCAACTTGTCCAAGTATGAATCGAATATATATTTTGTTATAATTTAATTTTTAATTAAATTCATAACAGGCTATTTTAAATATATAAAATATTTATAATTGTTGTGATTAAATTAGATGATTAATTAAAAGCATATTTGAATTAATTTAGTTAAAAGTTGCTGTTTTTTAAGTTTCAAAGATTTTTTTTTTTAAATCTCAATAAACCAAACAAGCTTTAGCTCTATTGAATAAAAATGTAAAATATTTTTTAAGATTTTCATAATTTTTTATTTATATTATTTTCCTATCATGCAGATTAATTAATTCTGAATTCAGGCTGGTTAGCATAGTCGATTTCTTGTGTGGACAATATGATACATTGATTTTTATTGAAGTGCATGGCAACTAGCTTTTCGATAATCGAAGCACTATTTGTCCCGTGACATGCAATGTGGGCTAAAGAGAAAAGAACGCTTCTCACTAAAGAAAAATATTAATGTCGGATGAGTAGCATTCCTTTTCCCTTTCATTTCGCACTCCATTCATACAAAAGCAAATGATTCCACGCCACTGAAACCCCTTTGCCAATATTGGATCAACAGAACTCCAAAGAATTTACGAGACAATCACGTGAAAAACAAAAGCTCTTGCACTTCTGTAAAAGTTCGGACACGGTGATGATGTTTAAAGGTTGACTTCACCCCACCTAGATTGAGCTGCGTCTAGCTGGGGAAAGAAAGCCTAATATCATCCGCACACTGATTATAGAATATTTTATTATTTATTTAACAGAAATTAATTATGTATCAAACATTTTTATATAGTAATTTTTTTTAAATTAAATAATTTTTAATGTATCTTAGTTTCCCTATGTTTGGTTAGAGAAAAGTTAAATAAGAAAGAAAAAAACCTTAGAAATTTAAAGAAAAAGAAGACAAAATAGAAAGAGAGTTGAGCGAGAAAAAAGTATAAAAACAAAAAATTCAAAAAAATTTCTTCAACTTTTAACTTCAATTTAATTTTTTAATTTCTCTCTCATCCTCATATTCTTTCTTGTTATTAAAAAAAAAGACTTTTAAAAGGTTTTATAATACTATCAAGCCCATAAATAAGGCTCAAATTAATTATTTAAAAAAATGTTCACTGAAATTTTTTCCTGAATTCTGGAAAGATTAAATAGCCTTCAGAATGTCAGACGAACAGAAAGCTAATTTTTCCTTATATATATATATATATATATATATATATATATATATATATATATATATATATATATATATCAATAAAAATGAAAAACAACACAGCCTAACATTCAATAGTAATTGAGTGTAAAGTTTTAGAGTAAGGGTAATTTTTAGGGTGTTTTTTAAATCAAAAGGATATACTATATTCTTTTACTTGTGAAATAATTATTATCTTTAATTTTATATTATAGATGATAGAGTTATTAGTTTAATTTAAAAATATGTAAATATATTTTAATTTTTAAGATAATATATAAATTACAATCGTCAATTTAAAAAAATATACAATATCTTTTCAAATTTATAAAATTTCATATTTACATACCTTCTTACATCATACACTATAGAGTATATATAGAATCCATTCTTTAAAGACTTATATCTGATTAATAGACTTTTAACTATATAATTTAACAAATTACAAAAATTAGATTATTTATTATACATACTAATAACAAATGGTGATTAAATTGAACATTTTTATTAATTTTTTATTTCATTATTATATGAATTGATAATACATAAATGAATTAAATAATTATTAAATAAATATATTAATATATTAATTAGGAAACATCACTCAGGGTGCCCTTCTGGCCATTAAGTCGGCAAATATATTAATTTGGAAACATCTATATGTTACATAACAAGACCTCGCCATTGATCGGTATCATACATGCCTAGGTCTTGAGTACTGTGTTATTCAAAATATATGTTATTTTACGTAAATAAAATAAAAAATTAGATATTATGTATATGTCTTGAGTTAAAAAATTTAATAAAAATGTCAGGTTTTAAATTATCTAAACGTTGATTATAATTAATTTTTTTTAAATTTGTAAAAACTCTTGCATAGAAATTAATTATAATTAACTTTCCTTCAACTTTTAAAAAATTCTTACACAAAAGTTGATGTAATAGATTTTTATACAAATAGAAGTCAATTATAATATATTCCGTGTACTGATGCATTTTAAAAATTACTTATTGAAGAGCACAATGTATACTTTGGCAGCATGAGTATCACAAGTGATCCGTGATACTTTAGGAAGTTATGGTCAATAAAAATTCAAAGTGCATACAATTATGTGACTATAGGGAATAAAAAAATTACACTATTTATGTCATCATGCACTCATTATGCTTTCTAACGCTCAACGAAAATAGACTTCTTTTGTTGATAAAGTTTAGACCATAGAATTTATTGTTTAATGTGTATAAAAATGAATTCTCTTTTATTTCTAATAAAGACATTTGGCCACCATACACCTGGCTTTCTATATGGTCAAATTTTATACTTAAGCAAACTCTCTTAGATCGTTTGATTTTCACAAAGATTTACAATAAAATAGATGAGATTAATCTGAATTAAAAAAAATATTGTAAATTATATATAAGTAAAGGTTACGCCTGATAGACATGTCTACATGCTCTATTTTTTAACAAATATATTTAATTAATTATATTTTGTTGTAAGAATAATATTGTGAAATTTAGTAGTGCATTTAACATGATGAATATGTTAAGATGTATTCATAAATTTATGTCACCACTATTGTAAGAAAAATTTGATTTTTTTAATTATACTTCATCTTTCAACACATGTTAAGCTCAAGTACATAACATTAAATATCTAAAGTACATAATAATTAAAAATCTTGGATCATCATATTATAATAATTAAAATTCTTACACAATCACATAATAAAAATTAGTTATAAGTCATTTTTAGAATGCGTCAAAATATATTGAAATATATTATAATCAACTTTTGTATAAGAGCTTTCTAAAAATTGAAGGAAAGTGAATTATAATAAATTTTTATGTAAAAAAATTTTAAAAATTAAAAAATAATAATTATAATTAACTTATGTGCATGAAAAATTTTAAAAATTGAAAAAAAGTTGATTATAACCAATTTTTGTACTATATACTATGCTCGAAGCAAAGTTGGTTGTAATTGACTTTTATATAATTTAAAATATAATATTTTTTATTATTTAAGATATATATGTAATATTTAATTTTTTATTTTATTTACATAAAAATACCCCGAAATAAAACATTCATTAGTTATCTATGTCTCTTTTCCTCACGTCAGAGTTTGTTATTATCAATTTGTAAAAAAAAAAAAATTGTAATGTAAAAATACAATCAAGTAATTTATTGTGTACTTTGAACTGGTCCAAACTAATATTAGTTGTGTTGTAATATTATAATAGTAAAATTAAATATGTGTAATGATTTTTGTTATACTTTTGCTTACAGAAGCCTCGGCTCAGCCTGAACTCCATTCTATTTTTTCAGAGTTGAAAATAATTACATTAATGCGGAATCGTCAGAACTGATTTGAGAGTTGATCACTAAAAACAATGAAAAAGCGAATATCTTCAATTAATAGTAAAGTTCAAGGTTGATGATTCTAGCACAAAGAAAAAAATATCAGGGATTATTGTCATTAAGAACCAGGCAATAGAGAATAGAGATTGTTATCACCATTGAGAAAGGTGGTCGTGCTAATCATTGAGGATTGAGAACTATGAGGTAGGCTATGTTAAGCTGGGTTTTATGTCGATGAGATGTTTTCGACTTTTCCTACTTTAGTTTACATTCTGGGGCCATGATAGCGACTTATTTCAAATTTTTGCTCCTTTGATTTGGACATTAGATCGAATATGTTAAAAAAAAAAAGCTTATATATTTTTAAAATAAAAGACCATATTATAAGAATTAAAACCTTGAGATGAAACCTCTCAAGCAGGTACATAACCAGCATATTCAACAATCGATGGAGAAGCCCACAAATCAAAATTCCGGTTACACCCTACTTTAGCCAACGTATCAGCAAAACAAATTCTTTTATCTGAAAATATGGGCAACCACCAAATAGCTATGAACTTTCAGAAAACCAATTGAAAGTGTTAAATGCACTTTTCTTTAAAACATTTTTAATATTAATTGAAGTTTTTTTAGATAAAGTACAAAATTATGAGACTCGTTAAATTAAGATTCACTTAATTTATGGTTATTAATATATTTAAGTTAATAAAAATATATAGTAAAAAAATGAGTGACGTATTTCTTTCAACATATTTAAGAATTTCCATGACGCATTACAGCAAGGCAATAACAAAATCTTTAATATATATTTCAGAACAGAACAGCAATGCATTCAAAATGGCCTCGTCTTCGGCTTCAAATGTTCACACAATACCAATATCTTTAAAATGATTGAAAAATCATATTAACTTAGAAAAAAGACAAGAAGATGGAAAGAATGAAGAAGATAGTTAGTTGTAGAGGGTTTAGTGGTCAGATATATTTTAAGAGCTTCAAATAATCTATAGAATGTGTCTAGACTAATATTTCTGTTAAAAACGAAGGAATCTTTCCATGTTTAGTCAAGGAAGAAAACAAATTACTCTACTTTGTAAAAGAGAGAGGCAGAAAAATAAGTAAAATTCACGAATCTCTCCGTACTAGCAACAATTTTTAATTTTCCGAATTTGCTATGTCTGTGAGAACACAGTTTCTCCCAGAAAACCCTTACACAAGGTGTTTGGTACAGCACCCATATTCAGAGGGCAAGGTTCGCAAATCACAATAACATGGCTTGGATTGATTCTCCAGTCTAGCATGTGTACGTGATTATTAGAATTTAGCTATGGTCCCAATTGGCCTTGGTGGCCTCGTCCTCGTGAATCTTTTCTGACAATGCATAATGTATGCATGCACACAATAGGAAAACGAAGGAAAAATGTTTTGTTCACATCCACTAAAGTGTCTATATGTGAAGTATCCACATCTAGGAAAAAAATTGAAAAGAAAGAAATAGTAAATATAATAAGTAATATGACGTTAGATATTAAACGAGTCTTACCATTATTTAGCTATTCATAAATCATAAATAAAACAACAATAATATGAATACTGTTTTTATTTTATTTTATTAAATCTTTAAATATATCTCACGAAATAAAAGTAAAGAAAAAAAAATCTGAATAAAAACGCTTACAAACTCTTGCAGAGGTCATGAACTCCCAATTGAAACATGTATATGTGTTTTCTTAAAAGAGAGACAGATAGAAGAAGATGATAGAGTAGGGCAAAGAAGTGCGTGAATTACAAACTAAACGGACATTAATTTGTAGCAAAGAAACTAGAACCCTCAAATTAACTCGTAAAGGAAAAACATCACAGTTAATCCAGGCGCACTATTATCAAAGTCTAAAAGCCAGAAACATGTACGAAATGAGAGTCACAACAACAACCCTGAAACCCTAATGGAAGAGAAAAACTCATCATCAGTAGTAACTAACGCGTCTATAATTTTAAGTATAGACTGTGAAGTGCTTCAATATTAGAGAGGTGGACAAACAAAACCAGGTGGAGGAGTCTTCCCGCAAGTTATCAAGACTTGAAGTGCAAGAGGAATGAAGACATTGAGATTAAGAAGTTTAGCCCTAATAACGGTGCAAAGACAAATCGCTGCTTCAAGATCAAGCAACCCTTGAATCACGGGACAACACACGTTCTCAAGCGGGTTCCCTATTCCCACATGCACCAATCCTCCAAGCACATCCAAACAAAGCCCTAACTTTAAGGCATCGATTGGACAAGTTCGTTGAGGAGGAGGACCACCACCGTGTGGCGGCGGGTACGGGGAGGTTGGTGGAGGGTATGTCACCGGCGGGGGTAGCAATGGAGGATTGACTATGATCGGTGGCACGATCACCGGCGGCATAGGAGGGGAGACTTTTGGCCGGCCTCCGCCGTGATGCGGCGGTTTTTTGGGATGACTTGGCCTGTGGTATGGTGGACGTGGGTGAGTGCAGGGCCCACATGCATGAATTGGCGGCAAAGCATTCAACATTAATAGTTTCAAGATGAATATTAAAGCTTTAGCTTTCGATTTTGAAGACATGGTGACTTCGGGTCTATAAATTCTTCTTTTTGCTTTTCTATGTATGGGTTTGATATTCCCAGAGTCACACTCACACAGTATTATATATTGGTTGTACGAGTTTAATTAAGCTTTCGTTGGAAAAGATAGAATAAAATTTTGAACCTGTTAAATTACACATGGCAGCATGTACTTAGAACAGCCATCCCCTAAGGCTTCTTCTATGTGACAGAGATAAAGAGAGAGAAAGGTAATTAGAGTTTTTGGAGTATTGTTTGTGGTTTTGTGATTTCGAGAGTGACTCCGTGACTCGTTTCAGTACGATCCGTGAACTAGTTCGAGTTCTGAAACCGCTGGGAAACCGCTGTGCAGTTTGCACAGGTTTCCATTAACAATGCCTCTTTGTTTTCTTTGCATAATCTGCAATATTCGCCTCTGCGGTGAAAGGTGCTTGTCTTCGTTCCTTTTCTAGACACGTTAATTAGAGGAAGAAACACATTATTAACAAACAAATAAAAAATAATTAAGATGGAAATTAGACTTTGGGACCGAGGACAAATTAACACTTTCTTTATAATAATGTTATCTATATAGCAATTGACTTGATGTTGCTAGTTAACAATTCAATCTATCTTGTTTGAAGTTCATTTGTTCCTAAAACAAACTAATTAAAAACAAGTGCACAGATCCTTGTTGAGCCAAACGCTGTTAGTGTCATACTAAAGTAATTATGTCTTAAGCATACCGCTTAATTAACTTATGCAAATCTCCAAATTAAATCCATGCCACGTGTTGGCGTTGTGCATCAAATATCAATCGCCACAGCGAAAATTGATGGGCCACATCTTATTATTGCTGTTAATCCCAATAAAAGAGTAATCACAACTTGGCAGTCAGTGACACGCGGATGGAAAGCTGTCCATGCAAATTCGTAGTCATGACACCTAGCATACTTTTTAGGCTTTTTTATTTAAATATTGTAAAATAAAAAACAATTTATCAAAATAATGTATTTTTCAAACAATTTTCTTGTCTAGAGTTGGGGCGCACACGTATCGCCAAAACGGCTGGCGAAACTTATTATTTTAATATTATAAAACAAGTTTTGCCAAACGAAGGGCGAAAGTTGAAGGTAATTTCGTCATTCACCAAGCGAAACATAAACAAGTAGACACATGAGAGACTCAGAATCCCATCTAAGAGAGCGGTTCAAACTGAACCGCTCTCAGAAGTCCTCTAAGAGAGCGGTTCCATTTAACTGCTCTTAGAATTCCATTTTAGAGAGCGGTTCCAAATGAACCGCTCTCAGAAGTGGTAATACATTCAGATCAGAACTCCTCATGATTACCAATCTCTTTTGACTCCAGGTGCCTCATACATGGAAGCTGGCCCTATACCATCCTTCATGCCTCCGATGGATTTAGGGATTGATCTGAATGATGAGTCTGGGGCTGTTGCCGATGTTGGACTGATTCGGCGAAATCCACATCGAGGAGCTCGAGATAGACAGAGGCAATGCATCTTGACTCCAGAGGTTCATGATCATCATGCACACATGGCAGACCAGCCATGAGATGTAAAACTGTTGTATGTTTAAAACTTTTCACAACTAATGTATGTGGCGTAAATAACATTCGCATTAATATTTCATCACATCCTTCATCTTTACAATTACATCATTTTTGCTTTTACATATTACACTCAGTTTTGTTGACGACAATGACGTCGTCAATCTAATACGCAATTGTGAGAGCGGTTCAATCTGAACCGCTCTCTAAAATGGAATTCTAAGAGCGGTTATTCTTGAACCGCTCTCTTAGAGGACTTCTGAGAGCGGTTATTCTTGAATCGCTCTCTTATGAGAACTTCTGAGAGCGGTTCTTTTTGAACCGCTCTCCAAGATTGACTTCTGAGAGCGGTTCAGACATTAGAGAGCGGTTCCTAATGAACCGCTCTCTTAGATGGGATTCTGAGTCTCTAATGTGTCTACTTGTTCATGTTTCGCTGGGTGAATGGCAAAATTACCTTCAACTTTCGCCTTTCGTTTGGCGAAACTTGTTTTATAATATTAAAATAATAAGTTTCGCCAGTCATTTTGGCGATATGTGTGCGCCCCAACCCCAGACAAGGAAATTGTTTGAAAAATACACTATTTTGATAAATTTTTTTTTATTTTACAATATTTAAATAAAAAAGCCTACTTTTTAAGGATGAATTCTAACACATTCGGAAACCAATTATTAATATTTTTATTTTTAAATGGTTATCCACTATAAAATAATTTAAAATTTTGAAAAGACGTTAATTAATTTATGTTAATGTATCTTTGTATTTTAATATTTATATTAAATAGTAAATGAGAGAGAACATTATTGTTAAAAAAATAAAATGTTAATTCAACTGACTATTTGTTTCAGAAAAAATAATTATTAACTGAGGATAAGGGTACTTAAATCCGTAGCATTTAGTTAAATATAATTGTGTTTCATTTTTTTTAAAATTAAATTTATTTATTTCTTAATTTTTTAATAAATTTTTTAACTATATTCAAAAAATTAATATTTTGATAAGATTTTCGCCTTTTATTTAAAATTGGTATGCTTAGATTATTGCAGTGTGTCTAAAATACAAAATAGAAAATTTTTAGAACACGCATTGATTTCTACGGACTTGGAATATGAAGTAATCTCTCAATCTCACAATAATTTAATCATTTTATTTATTATTATTATGTGAGTTACTCATGCAGAAGTTAATATTATTTAAAGTAATAATAAATCATGAATATCATTCTATATTACACTGATTAAACAGTAAAAATTCAATGCAAACGATATATAATAATTGGAGTTATCTGAATTGTAATTTAATTTTAAAGTAGGGATCGCATTGCCTTATTAATTCAACACTCTCCCCTTTACTCTTTTCATTGTTGTGATTCTTTAAAATTTAAAAATCTGTTGCTAGATATATCAGGAGGATACAAAGGAAATGTTTATGGGGTGGGTGTGAAAAGGGGGAAAAATTATCCTAGGTTTGATGAGATTGTGTGTTGGATTAGGAATTACAAATGCTGAATTGTTTGACTTCACTTTGTTAAGAAAGTGGCGATGGAGGGCGTCTGTCGTGTAAGATCATTATTTCTAAACATGGGAATGTTAAGGGGATTGTATGGTTTGACCAAAAATCGAGAGATTTTGGAGAAGGAGGGAATGTTAATTTCTCGAGTGGATTTTGGTGGGAGATAAACGTCAAGGAAGCAAAATTAGCGAGGTATAAGGGAATAGAAAGATGAAGTTTAGAATTGGAAGTTGAGTTGGAGGAGTGAAAAACTTTAGTGGGAAAAGGGAAGTATGGAAAGCTTTATGAATCTCATTAATTCAATTCCTCTTATGTAAAATTGTGCATATTCTTATTAATTATTTGGGTAAGTACAGTGTGGTCTTTGTGGTTACATAGAAATAGAATTATATTTTTCAATGGTGTTTTGGATGAGAGGAAAGTCCTAGATTCTATTATTCTGAGATCCTGGAAATGGTTATCACTTGTTAGTAAGGGAGAAGCTATTATGTTAGCTTATTGGTATTTGAACCCACGAAATTGCATCTGTCTTAATTTTGTATAAGTATATTTTTACTTTTTATTTCTCTGAGTAAGTAATTTTTTGTGTATATGAGTTTTGAGTTCTCCTTGAACTCTTTTTAATAAGATTTGTTTTATCTATAAAAAATAAAATAAAATTGTGCATATTCTTATCAAAACATCATATGGGCTGGCACGGGATATTTTTTATGATGTTGTTATTTTTTACGGGGAAAAGATAAAAAATAATGAAAAAAAATTAAAAAATTGTGAGAAGAATAAATATAGAATGAATTATTCATTCAATAAAGATATTATATTTATAATAATTTAAATAAAATAAAGCTTAATTATAATTAAGATTTTAATAAATTTAAAAATAAATTAAATTATTTCTATCTATTTATTGACTAAAATATTGATATAATAAACTAAAATAATAAAAAATAATAAAAAGAAATTATAAAAATATATTATTAATATTTTTTTTTACTTTTTAAACTTCAAACTCTATTTTTTACCATTTAAATTTGTTAATAAAAAATATATTTGTTATCAACAAAAATTTTGTATTTTCTTTTTTTAAATTAAAATTAATAAAATTTTCTTTTATTACAAAACTCGATTCAAAATAATTAGTTTTTTTTAGAGAAATTAATTAATTTAAATTTTTTGTTCTTTTTAAAATTGATGTTTGAGTTACAAGTGCCTTTAAATATTTAACCACCCTTTTTATAACTTTGAGATGTCTTTCATTTATATAATGTATAAAATGAAAAAATTTACTTTCAACATTATAATGAATTGTTATAATATTTTTTTTTGCATAAAAAAGCTGTTTGCTTCTCTTCTAATATATTTAAAGTAATTTTTTTTCATTTTTACTTTAAAAATATCTTGTCAAACTTTATATTTAATCAAAAAATATTTGTCTTTAAAATTAACTTTGAATCCTCTTTCAATTAATTAATCAACACTTAGACAAATAATTTTGTGCTTTAATAACTTGATATTACAATTGTTTACTTTCCTATGACTAAAATAGAATAATCACTATCTATTTTAACTTTAATGATATTAGTTGACATCAAATCTATAAAGAGTTCCTTATTGTTGGTTACATAGTTATTATAGTCATTATCAATTAATCAACTTTTATTTGGTTTAAAGTCTAAAAAGCAAATAGCAACAAACAAATGATCATCTTCCTCTTGATCAACAATTTTATCCTCTTCATATTGGTATTAGTTTTTATTCTTGCATATAACATTTTCATATTCTATTTGGTTGCATTTATTGCATTATGCATTAGGCTTTTTTCAACACTTGAAAAGAGGATTATCATTTCTTCCACAATGATAACATGTAGTATAAGATTTCTTCTTGTTGTATCTTACACTTTTATAAAACGTACATGTAAGGCTTTCTCAATAGCACTTTCTTGTATTATCATATGCTTTTGTTCTTGTGCTTATAAAATATTTTAGAATTCTAACTGTGTGATTTTGCACAAGTGCTTAAAATTCTCTAATGTAGTGATTGTGACTTTAAGTCTTTAGGTATTTATATAAAATTTTTTCTAAAATTCTAGAATTAAAAAACTTAATAGCTAGTAATCTTACCTTATTAGTTACGCTAAGTAGCCTATTTGAGCATACTTTTATTGCATTGGTCTTTTGTATTTTCTACTTCTATGACTTTTTATTTGAGTCATGGTAAGATTGTGATAGTAAAAAAATTTTGTAATCTTCAATAATTTCTCAAAGATTCATAATCTTTGAATAATCTATTTTGATAACATAAAGATTATAATTTTCTCCATCAAAGATTCAAAGATGAGATTAACTTGTGAGAAATTTGATTTAACGTCTATTTTCACAAATATGTAAGAAGACAACTTTTAATACCATTTTATTAGTTTTTATGACCAAAAAAAAAAGAAGAATACATAAAATTAAAGGAAAATGAGTAAAAATTGAATTCATCTTTATTTAATAATAACGGTATATTTATAATAATTCAAATAAAATATAAACTAACTATGTAACCAAGATTTTAATAAATTTAGATGACAAACTAAAATATTCTCAACTACTTATTAACTAAAATACTGATATAATAAATTGAAACAAATAAAAACAACCGAAAGGAAGTATAAAGCATGTTTTTAACTAATGTAAACGGGTCCTTACTCAAGAAATCCTAGACTTCCTTTGAAATTTATAGCTTGTTGTTGGAGTTTGCTTAATAGGATACAAACTATAACAAATTTATTGGGAAAAGGAATATTGCAAGATAACCACATTGGATGCGTTTTTTGTAGTAAAGAGGACGAAACAACTTCTCATGTTCAGAAATGCAGGTTTTCTTACACAATTTGGATTAATTGTTTTGCTTGGCTTGGTCTGAGTACTGTACTACTGGGGGACGGTAAGCTACAATTTTCTACAACATGCTGGTTCCTGGTTGGAAGAAAGGTCAAGGAAGATTGGTTCGTGATATGGTTTGCAATAATTTAATTATATAAAAAGTGTTGCTTTTAGTAATGATGTTTTAGACGATGGAAAAGTGCTAAAATTGAGCAAAATTAGAGCTTGGACTGGGATAATTAAGTCTCTGAACCGGATAATTATCTTTTTCTTTTATAGACTGGATATTTGATCATTGGTTTGTATTGATTAATATGACGGGGCAAGGTAATTGATATAAGGGTTTAAGCCTTTCTTATGCTCTCATGAATAATTTATATTTTGCTTATAAAAAAACATTCTAAAGCAACGAGGTCCTGATAGGAATTAAGGGTTTTTCTAAGATGCATCGAGACATGTTAGAACGGATTATACTTATTCCTTATTTTAGAATCATGTTAATTCTTAACGAAGAAATAAATATTCAATGATATACAAATTTAGTTAAGATTAAATCTAAGTAGCACAAGAAAAACGTGAATAAATATTTAATAATTTGATATGAGATGTTAAACTTAACACTTACACAACTTAATAAGTTTTTATAAAATATTAAATTGACTAACTCAATTATTAGTTTGAAATTTCTTATTAAATATAGATCAAATTTATAAAACTTCATATAAAAATAAAATTAAGAAATATTTTATTGTATTACTTCATTTTAACAAGTATTATATTTTTAAAATATAGATAAATATCAAATTTTAACATATTTATAAATATCTTAATTATTTAAATTTGCGCAATAGGTGAGTAAATTTTATATGAATTTAATTTTAATACTGTAAATATAAAATTTGTATATACTATCAATTAATTAAAATATATTTAAATATCATTTTTATATTAATTATTATAAAATTCAATAATTTTTACTTATATAATAATTTACAACAAGATAATAGTATAAAAAAATATTTACACTATTGGTATATTTAAATTAAACTCATTTTATATACACACTTTTCAAAGCAATTTTTTGTGATATAAAACAAAATTAATTCGGAGAGAACAGAATTATTGGAGTAATACTAACAACTTCTTAAGATATCTGTGAAACTTTTTTGTTGTTATTGTTTTGCTTAAAAGACAGAATCAAACTTAATCTGAAGTACTCGATCAAATTGGATTAAAAGATAGATAAAGTATCAGTTTGGTTTTTAATTAATCGAACAAATAAAGTTTTCAACAAAAATCAATATTTGCAAGTTAATTTGTACCACTTAAACAGTTATAATTTTTTTATATTGGTGCAAAATCGATATCGACTAGTTTCCAAAAGGAGCCTGATCAATCGATCTGAACACCTAGTGAAACATTAGTTTATTTTCTTTTCTTTCTTCCTCTCTCTGATCAACCATGAGATTGCTTGATTTTTATATCTCTTTAAGAAGTATCGCTATTAATAAATATTTCAGTTTTTCCTTATTTGATCCCTATGACATGGTCAAAGTGCATCTATTCCTTACCGCGCTCGTTTTCAATGGATTGAAACAGATACCTCCAAAATACACGTCCGTAACATAATAGTATTTACTGCCCAACAGTACATATTGGAATAACACATAAATTCGGATCGCTGAATTGTAATGAACATTTTTACTATACCATGGTCGTTGATGAACATGTACTATACCTGACAGGTCAAAGGGCATTGACAAATGACAATTGGAGAAACAAAGTTCCAAAACGTAAATTAAATAATCATCGAGAGACTGTCAATCACATTCAAACACCTATAGATAGCATATATACATGTATCCTTCACGATGTTTCTAATTATTAAACTTATTCATCTTACAAATAATATTTTTCATCCAACAAAAAGAAATTGTAATCTGTGTGTTTTTTTTTTAAAAGCCTATTTTACCAACTTAAGTGACAAATCATAGTTCCATTTAGCTTCAATGAATATGGACACGGAACTCGATCATATCACTTATGTCACAATAATTTCATGTGAAAGTGAAAATCTTCTTTGTTCTTTTCTTTTTGTACTCTTGTTATCTCTCTCTTTATGCTAAAGAATTTTTGGAAAGCTTCCATTTCAATCTTTCTATGGATTCGATTTTTAAAAGGAAAAAAATTAAGGACTTGAAAATTAATTTTATACTCAACAACCTATGCCTCTTATTATAGAGAGTTCTTCAGCCGATGCATATATATCAGTTCAAAAGTGGCTTCAATTCTCAAATAAAAATTAAGAAAGGAAACACGAGGAAAAAAAAACATGAATCTTAACTTAAATGGTAGAATTTTTATTATTGGAAATTTCACTTAAGATGGAATACAAAGGATTGGTGACGCTGACTTGGAAGGCCAAGGAGTCTTCAAGTTTCAACCATCACACAACAACAATAATAATAACCAAATAAGTACGAACGAAATGTTCGTTGGTAAAATGCACGCGCTAGAGATAAAACCAAAGTACAAAGTACGCGGAATGATGAATAACGAATATAGCGAAATGGAACATTAAGACAAACTCAACTAGCGGAAACTACTTATATGAAAGTGCTTATTATTTAAGCGCACTTGTAATGCTCAGGAACCTCCATTTGACAAACGTTGAGTAGCAAGCTCAAGCTTAAAGGAATGTCGAGGTTGATGCCCAACACATTGGCTTTGAGAGCAGTGCAAAGGCACACAGCAGCTTCAAGGTCAACCAGGTTGCCAAGGAGAGAGCAACACGGGGTCACTGCTGGGTCGCCAAGTTTCACGTTCACCAAATTCAACACATTAGCACACACACCGAACTTAATGGCGTCCTTAGGGCAACCGGGTTGCTTTGGGTAAGGTGTGTATGGGGCAGGTAGGTGTTTGTGTCCTTTTGGGGGTTGTGGAGGGCATGGAGTAGTTGGAACATATGAGGAGCTAACCACAGTGAAGAAGAGTAGGTTGAGAGCAAGAAGAATACCAGCCTTTGAAGCCATTTCAGAAAGTTGCTGACTTCTTAGAACACTACTCTTCTTACTCAGGTTTTGGTGTGTGAGCTTGGGATGGAGTTGGAGTGGGATGAGAGGGGGTTTTATAGGGAGGATTGGACAGTGATTTCGTGTTTTTAGGTTTAAAATAATTGGGTTCATTTGGAGGCCCATGTGAGTGAGTGAGTGAGCCCATTGGATGGAAATTTGATAACGAGGACAAGCTGGCAACGGGTCAGCATGCAAGAAGGAATATGTTATATTAAATATACAAGTTTGGAACCATATGTATGCATTTTGGAGCTTGTTTGGTTGTCAACTTGATTAAATCATTTCGCGCATATGTTTGTTCTGAAATTCTCAATATTTCGCTTAATTTCAAACGAAATAAAGAATAAGATATTGCGGGGTTTTGTCATTTTTCATCGATTGTTGAAAAATGAATTATGACGACAAGGCTTAAGACTGTTCTTATTACTCTGTATTTGTCTATTACAACTCAACTCCTGTTGTCGAATATAATTTGTTAAGAAATTACAATATACATCTAATTCACGCTTAGTCTGTACTACACCTTTTTATCTCATTCAAGAATCACGACAAGACTATATACATACACTTGTCAGCCGTCGAGCCATGTTCATGTAAAACATTCCCTAAGTTCAGTTAAAAACAAGAAGGCCGGGGATGTTGCTGTTCATTTGAAAGCTTATAAGGTCAAATGTGAATAATAATGCAGCTGAAGTCCGAAGATAATGTGCTGATCATGTGAAAGGCTGAAACCTAACTGCAAAACAATTGTCCCTTATAGCCTGGAAAATAGAAACCTTGAAAACCTGATATATGGTAGAACGTTAAATGGAGTTCACTGAAACTCACTACGAAAGATCATTGCACCACCAACTAAGGCTTAATTTAAACAATATATACTTTATTTTAAAAATTTCTTCTATAAAAAATTATTATTATTATACTTTAAATATAAAAAAAGGTCATTGTTCACTTCTAAATTCTAGTTCTTCGAAAAAAAATGATCCCCATATGAAAGATTTGAACTAATGGAAAAAAGTATTATAATTTTATGTTAGTAAAAATTTATAGATCTGAGATGTTAAGGATAATTTTGATTCTTTCTATTCACTATAAGACACATTCTATCGTATATTAAATGATAAGATGCAAGCTTTTTGTTAAGTTAAAGGAAAGACACAAAAAGAATCATGTATTGATTCAATAAATGAAAGCATAAATAATGGAGAGGACAACATTAATCTTTAATTATTACAAACAACTAATTAATATTTATGAAAAAGAGAAGCTCATAGTAGAATGAAATTTAGAATAAAAAAAACTAGTTATTTTTAATAGATTAAAATTATTTATTAAATAATTGATAATTTTAAATTTCCAGTCAATATTTTTTAAATAATATTCATAATAAATAAATAAATAAATATTTTAAGGCCAGGACTTTACTCAGTCTAAGATTGACAAATTGTGTCTGCGCTGACTACATATTTGAGAGAAAAACAACATTCTTAATCCATGTTATAATAATTCAAAAATACAATAACATTAAATAAGTATGTAAACATTTTTTAAATTAAAAATTCATAAGCAAATGAAGGATAAACAAAAGTGGTTAACTTAATCACTAATATAGTTACTGATAGAATGCGATAATTTAACTTGTTACTCCTAATTAGGAAACCCGTGTTTGAATAGCATGGCTTGGTTCAAAGTACTTGTTATGATTAAAATTCTGTTTTGACATGTATGATAATTTCTTTTATTTTATAAAATTGCTCCATAATGTATGTAAATTTTATTTACATGGTAACAAAACGTGCACTTATTTAATCCAATTGTCTTTATTACAGTTTTATTTATTCTTATTTATTTTGTATACTAAATGTGAATCGCTATTTTTAAACAATAACATTTTAAAATTTATCTAAAATAAAACTTATTTTTTAAATTCTCTTTTATATTACATTATGTCTCGCATTTAATATTAAATTTCTTTACTTTCAATTTTAATTTTTTTATAATTTATTTATTAAATTTTAAAAATATTTTTAATATTTAATTTTATTTAATATAATAAAAAATTTTATTGTTTATAATAAAAATACTTTAGTGTTTTCTTAAATTTATGAAGTTTATTAAATTTAAAATTCATAATAATATACATTAAAATTTTTATTTAAAAAATATTTTCATTTAGTAACATCTGTACAATATATAAAAATTTTACTAATTTGGTTTGATGGTTTAGTGAATATTTTAAAACAATTAAATTTTAAAAAATAATTACTTATTTTTTAAAAACACTTTTAAGAAACTGTAAAAAAAACTAATTAATTTTAAAATATATATATATATATATATATATATATATATATATATATATATATAAACGCACACTTAATATCAGTTTTGCAACATAGTGGTTTGAATAGTTGGATCAAATCCTAAAAAATCCGATAATAGTTGTTTCTTAGTCTTTTTTTTAGACTACATGTTTCTTAATCTGTATAAGTATAATTTTATTTTATTTTAATTTTTTAAAATATCATTATTTTAATTCTTGTAAATTTTAATATTTTAAAAATAATTTCTATCGTTACTTACTAATAATATAACAAATATTTAATTATATCATTTTGAGAACTATTAAAAATAATATATAGTACGGCATATTTATCATTAAATAGTTATAATTTTTTTATAAAAATTAGAAAAAAAATTTAAATGCTAAAATCTCACTAAATCATATTTTTAACAATTATACATATTTTATTCTATAAATAATAATGAGAATTTCTGAATCTTCTTGTAATATATTATACTAATTTATTAAAAAAATTATTATAGATCTTTATATTTTAAAATATGAAAAGTATTTACTTTTTAATAATTTATGAAAAATTATATGAGGCTTCTAGGGTTACCAAAAATAAAAAAAGGTATGTTACGTTGAACACATGATTCATTAATTAACCATGATCATTTATGTTTTTTGCCATGAAAGGATCTCGGGAATCATGGACCCAAATTATTTGAAGCTGCAAATTATGTCTCGTCATTTTTATTTAATCACTTGGCCTTCTTAATCCCACTATTGATTATTCTTTGTTCAACATGAGCATTTGAAGGTTCATCATGTGGCATATTAAATAATCATAACATGAGTACCATGCATGCATTAATTACGCAATACTAGAATGACTCTTTATACTTACTTCATCTCTCTATTTTCTTTTTCCTATTATTATTATTATATGGGGTATATGTCATACGTGCTGGTATGATAAACAAAATATAAATTTCATTCAAACTCATGTTTTTACTGTTTACTCTTAGAACTCATACATATGTCATTAAAATAAACTGATTAATTGAATCGTTTTCAATACGTGCTTGTAACAATAAATAGTTAGCAGAGGTTTAAATATATTTCAAGTTTTTATATTTTTTTAATTTAAAATTTAATATTTTAAGCATTTAATTTGTCTCTAATAAATTTTAAATTTTTGATTTTAATCCCTATTATAAAAATATGTCAAAATATATTCCTCTCAGAAATAAATCATTAGGACTAATGTCTCAGGTTTTATATGGACTAAAGTTTAAACAAAATAAAATTACAGAGATCAAAATCAATATTAAAAAATATGGACCAAAACCAGAAGTTTCGAAATTATAAGAATAAAAATCAAGGTTTGAAAATATTAAAAATAAAATGACGGTAAATTATTAAAATAAAAAATATATTCGAACCTTTACTTTATGTACTTAATTTGCTTACGTACTGCATTTTTTTTAATCCCTATTGTCCCTTTGGTAAACGATGTCTTAGATAATTATTGGTTAGTTATTATTAGTTTGAATAAATATTTTAATAAACAGTTCTAAGAGAATAGAGAAGTTTCCTTATCAAATTTTCTCCACAAATTGAGATAAATTAATTAATTAACTTACACTGATTTTACCTTCTGGATTTATTTTAATTTTTTATAATTTTTATTAAAAGTTTTATTCTAATTATAATTTTATATTAATTAAGAGAATTTTTGCAATAATTTTTTAATACATTATTTATAATCTAGTTAATTTCGTATAGGTCTCATTAAATAGTTAACGTCAAATCTTTATTTAAAGTGCGTTCGGGTAATTATTATTTAATAAACTATTTTTAATAAAATAATAATGTTCTCTTATAGTTGTATAGTTTTTAAAAAAATTAAAATTAATAATTTAAAATATATTAAAACAAGTGTATTAAAAAATGTATTTTCAGAAGTACGTCTTTTTCGAATATACAATAATTTAAACGAACAAGTTGAAATTGAACACTCGCAGGTTACGAGTTAACCCTAAATTTCCATAAAGACTGCGGACAAGAAAGGCAATTGGCAAAGGTGCAGTCTTAGGATTTGGCGTATTACCGGCAATAAGCATGAAAGGTGTGGACAGGATCAGCATATCTCGAAGAAAACGATGAATAATAAGGAGTAAAGTAAAGCATTATTAGGTTAGTAGGCCATTGAAGGAACACCTTTTCTCCAAACATGTTCATCAATCCTTGAGATTCCAATGTGCCATATTCCATCTCCTCCTAAACACCACAAATTTAGATATCTTTGCTAGCTATGTTATCTGCAACCATCATTTTCATCCAAACTCAACACAAGTCATATACCACACACTAACTAGCCTAGCACAGACGCGTAAATTCAAATAAGTCACCTCACGATTTTCTTAGCTACAAAATTGTTAAAGATTAGGTATAAATGTGAAAAGAGAAAAACAAGTCAAGTGTTTTACGTTTTATCATATATTTATTTTCTTTCTAAATCTTCTGTTTATCTCCCTAATCATAATTAATGGGGTATGGGTCCTGCTTAATGACTTGCATAAATGTCAGTGTTTTTAAATATTTAATATTAGTGGTATGTCTCGTGCGTTGTACAATAGTGTAAAACGATTATATATATAACTTTTATAATTTTAATTTTAAAAAGTATAATTTTGATAATTAAAATTTACTTTTTTAAACTCAATCAAAACTTCAAAATATTCAAAAGCACGGAACATAATTAATAGTAAGTTTAGATATACAGCTTATTTAAATTTTTGTTTGATAAGAATTTTTAAATAATAATTTATGTCATAAATTTAATTATCAAATTTATTTAGATAAAATAAAAAAATTATTTTGACAAGTTACACTAAAAAATTATTAAAATATTTTATAAAAAATATAAGTTATTTTTTGTGAGTTATTCCTAATTTAATCCCTAATTAATACGCATTATATCATCTAGATTTTAATTTATTTTTTTTGCCATTGTTGCGTGCAAGTTTTAGAATGGTTCTAGCTTCATCCAAGACGGAGAGGCGAGATCGATCAAAAGAAACACAATTTTCAAGTTGAGAATCATGATTCTATTTGACTAATCATTTGCTTCCTGCTGAAAATATGGATCTAAGAGGCTGGTGTCAAAGAAAATAGCAGCTCTTGTGCTACAAATATATTAAATTCAATAGTACAGTCATAAATATTGATTTTTAGATTATAATATTGACTTTTTGGGGTGATTATGATCGTGATGTTGATTCTCTTCTATCATTAACATTCCAATTTGTACACTCGTGGCGAAACTTCAGCATTGACCAATAATATCTATGGCCAAAATGGCAAAACAGTAAGTAAAAACCTTTAACTGAAAAAAGTAAAGTAGAATATACTACTATATAACCCTATTATAAAAATTGTTCATTTCTGCTCTTCAAAATTGTTTCCAAGTGCAAATCAATATTGCATGCACTACAAATATTGTCAAATCAATAACCACTTCTGATTTCAAACCTCAAATTAACTAGCTTGGTCACAATTTTGAAAAGATTTAAATAAATAACATTAGAATTACCTCCTCTCTCCTCCTCTTGTAGTTCCACCGAATTTATTTATAAAATCAGGTCTCAACAAGTGGAGCAAGCATATAAGACATGGAATATGATCTGTGGAATCTTGGCTAATCTAAATTAAGTGCAAGTGAATTAATTTAACCATAAAAGAAAAATATAGGTAGCGCTCATTTGGCATTGGTTTTCTTGTAAATTATATATATATAAATGTTTTTAAAATGATGTCATTATATTTTAGGGTGTTTGAATGAGTTTTTCTAAAAGAAATTAAGCACTATCCAGCTAAGCTTTTATGCCTATTGGGAAAAACAAAGACTTTCTATAACATGAAAAAGTGTTCAAAAATTAGAAAAAGAGAACATTTTCAAATATTACAGTACTGAAACATGCAATAGATTTTACTTTGAGATCTTTTGAAAGAGCTCAGATTTAAAAGATAATAAAAGCTCACGTTGAATATGGGGAACCAATAATTATGGAAAATTACGTGTAGTCATTATCATTATCAGCCAAATGTTTGTGCACCGATCCAGGGATTTGTCAATATATTTGCATTTGTAAAATGAGATTCTTTCAAACCATTTGTGAAAAACAAGATATACAACATACAGAAGCAGTATGACACGCGTCTACCATATTTTTCTAAAAAAATCCTCAAAAGTAAAATTTGCATGTGTTGTGAGCATATTATATATTGTTTATTAGTACTCGTTCAAAGATTTAAAAAAAAAAATACTAAATGTATACTCATTAACGTTTTTTCACTTGCTTGGTTGTGAAAATCACCAATATGATATGATTGTTTTTCTGTACTGTTAAATAGATGCAATCCTATTAATAATTTATATTATCTATCAACAATAATATAAAATAAGGTATGTAGATGCATGTGTGTAGGGTTATTTATTGATAAAACAAGCGAACCATTTCCCATCATGCCTCATAATCAGACCCACATCCAGGTTACCATGAGAAGTACCCAATTAGTGTTATTTTCAGTCCATCTCACTTTATGCAGAAGGTATCTGTCTCACTTTATTCCATGGCCTGTTGTAAGTATACTGACTCGTGCATGAGGCCAAATTACACAGCTATATATATATATATATTTGACGTGATCATGAACACTGTAAGCAGCATTATGGGATCCTCTAAAATTCGGTTCTAACTTGCCATGATTTCTCCATCTCCACTTATTCCAATTCCAAAGTGTCCGATGATATATCAGTCGTGAACTAGTCCTTTTAAATGTCACCATGTTTTAGATTTTGATAAAACTATTTTAAATTTAATTTAATTTAAATTATTAAAGGTAATTAATCATTTATTATTTATCATTTTTGTAAAATTTTTAAAAATTAAGCAATTATTACTACTAAAAATATGTAGCAATTATTTGTAGAAGTTAAATCAAACATATACCAAGATGTCATCAAAACATCTTAGGGCCAATATGCTTATATATCTAAAATCAATTTCATACGACATAACATTCATTTTATTGTAAGTTTGTGATTAAATTAATTTAAACACAAATTTCAAAAGTATTTGTAATGGTTCAAATTCAAAACTATCAATATTAATTCTGCCAAAAATTAAAAGAGACACTTAAACCAATCCTCTAAATCTCTCTCCAATATATATTTAGAATTCTTAATTCTTAAAAGTGAAATTATTTATGAATTCATTCTTTTTCACATGTTATCACACCACTGCTTATTAGATAAAAATAAAATATATTCTCTTGGTTTACTTACATTAACGCAAACTTATTAACTTTTCATAATCTATGATGTACATTAATATATTTTTCAATATGAAATAACTAATTACAATCATTAATTAATTTCAATAATTGCATAAAATAATCCATCTTTTATAATAAAATAACAAACTTCAAATTTTATGTAATCCCTTAATTAAAAGTAATTATAAATAAAATTATCGATTATAAATTCTTGAAAGAGATAACAAAAATAATATTCCCGGTTGATTCTTTATATAAAATTTCTTTTGAAAAATCGTTCTATAATTATCCACAACAAAACTGATTAGTTGCTTCTCTCTTCTTTTTTTGTCAACAATTGCTATAATTATCATGCCAGTAACTTTAGCCGGCCCCGAGGTTATAAGAAAAATTCAAACGAAGCCCAACATGGTGCGAAAATGAAAAACCTAATCAGTTGGTTCAGCACGTTTGAGTGGTGCAATTACATGGTTTCACCTTCGATGGTTTGCCGCGACCAACAAAAAAATCAAAGATGGTTTGGGTTTTCAAAGATCACACAACAAATAGTTTGCGGCGAAGGGGATGTTCAATTTTTTTAATCTTGTTAAGATTATACTCTTACTTCCATAAAGGACCGAAATTAAGCGTAATAATGGCTCACTCCATACAATAACCACCATATGCATGAGAATAATCAAAAGAAACAATCAGACTGAGCTCTTCCATTCCTGTGGTTGGTTTCAGCAAGTCCTTCATGATCCATTATTTTGAACTACACAAGAGCACAAATAAACCAAGAGACAATTACGTCAAACAGGAACTTCTGATTCGATAATTGCCTTGGATCTACCTATGGTTCACCACCAAGCTCCACTCGCAGATTGTCATATGGATATTCTTTGGGTGTCTGATGCAGAGAAAATAATATAGACATCAGTCAACATAAGTACCAAAATAGTTGCAAAAAAATACCACAATATACAAAGCTTCAAAAGGGGAAAATATAAAAAAAAATTTAAATATAGCCACAATTACAAGCAAGAGTGCAATCGGCAACATGGATATAACAAGAATACATGCAGGACAAAAACCTACAGAGTACATAGACCACGCACGCAAACAAAATTTTATTTCTTTCAATCAAACAGAAAAATAAATTCATATATAGCTTCAGGTAAAATTATGAATAGCCATGATAAATACAAATTCGGACCTATTTTATAGAATGACTAAACTCTCATTTAGACCCCCAAGAGAGTTTGCATCTAACATTTTAGTCCCTAAAATATTAAAAATGTTATATTAGTCTCTAATTTCTATCTCCGTCAGGCCTAGGCCTAAACCTAGACACCGTTAATAAACAGTAATAGAATGCTGACATTTCATGTTAAGTACCACGTGTCATTAATTACGTGACAAAATGACGTTGACGTGTCATTTATATGACAGATTACGTGACAAAAACAATATCATATGTGGTATAACATGTTTTCGTTTCATTTTAGTCCTTGAAATTATAACTCGTCAGACATTTTAGTCCCTGAAATTGTCACCAACAAATATTGTAGTCCCTGAAAGAAAGAAAGAGAAGGGTATAGAGGTTCTGTGGAAAGAAGATTTAGTGGATGAGATGAAGAGAGGGTTCATCTAGAGTTGCATTTATAAGATGATTGGTGGCTTTGCAAGAAAAAGAATTGAGTTGGTAGGAGGAAAAGAAGAAAAGAAAGCAAGAGTTAGCATATGTATTCCTCCAAAGAATGCTCTTTTGTTGATGAGGTGTAGATCTAATTCTGTCAAAATGGCAATTTTGGCTAATTGCTTTGGGAATTACCCATTCACAGAGACAATATGAAGAAGATAGTGCAGAAGAGGAGGAAGAGGAGGGTGAGAAAGACGAAGAAGAAGGAAGTAGTAACAAAGATCAATACATTGAAATGAAACAAGATAAAAAACAAGAGGGAGACCAAAAAGAAGATGGTATACAAACCAAAGATGATAACATTTATGAAGGAAAAACAATAGAAACTAGTTTTGTGGCCGCTAAAGAAGAAGAGTGTGTAATCACATTTTTCCAAGAAGAAAAAGAAGAAGCAGCTAAAGAGGATGTGAAGAAAAGCTACAAAGATGAAAGCAAAACAAACCCAGAAAGCAACAAGTTATAATTTTAGAGACTAAAATGCTCATCGGTAATAATCTTAAGGACTAAAATGCTCGTTGGTGACAATCTCAAGGACTAAAATATCTGACAAGTTATAATTTCAAGGACTAAAATGAAACAAAAATATATACTATACAACATACGACATCGTTTTTGTCACGTAATTAATTACACGTGTCACTTAACGTGATACATCAGTGCCTTGCCACATAATCAATGACACATGTTTCTTAACATGATATGTCAGCATTCTATTACTGTCTATTAATAGCGTTTAGGTCTAGAGACTTAAATGTTCGACGAAGATGGAAGTTAGGAACTAGTGTGACATTTTTAATTTTCAAAGAACTAAAATGCTAGAGGCAAATTCTTTCGAAAACCAAAACGAGAGTTTAGTCTTTATAGAATTGTACACGACAAAAATATTGGATTTAATGAGAAAGTTCATGATGCACTAGGTACATATTTGGACCTTTTATAGAATTGTACAAGACAAAAATATTGGATTTAAAGAGAAAGTTCAATTTGTTTTGTTGGTTAGTTGTAAATTATGAATTACGATTGTTATACTCCTAATATATGGTTCTGGAAGTAGTTGATGTGATACTAATTAAAAGCAAGGATGAAGAATGGAGAACAATATCCTATCATCTAAAAGCACACAAGCAGTTAATAAAGACTTTTTTCAATTTTAAAACATCCAATAACATCTTCAGTCTAATGCTAGGTTCAAATTATGGTTTATGATGTTATCATGGTCGTCAAAATAGTGAGTCTTCCTACACGGACACATTAAAGGTACATTTGGTGTTGTAAATTCACATTATACATGTCTACATTTCCTGCCCAATCTTATGTAGGATACTTGAATTTGATAACCTTGAATGTGATTACATTCATTTAAGATACAAAGATGGCTATTTGAGTATGAGACTATTAGATCTAAGATAGATACACAACTGTATATCTGCTTGTATTATAGTATGACAAACAGACCAAGAAGGCCTCCCCTACAAACCTGTGCTTCATTTTCACCACCAGAGTACTTCAGCATTATGACCAGTTCAAGGTTCCATGCAGTACAAAATATTATGACACATCTCTGACCTCAGAAATATATTGAAGAAATCATTAAACAACTAAGTTAAATAACTACACTGATTAGATCCACATAGGTGATGATGTAGAACTAGTAGGCACTAGCAGCGTAATCAACCGTGGCCTGTAGCAGTGCTGTAGTGCTGGAGCTGGAGCACTGCAGCCTAAGGCTGCTCAGGATGCCCACCACACCCACAATCACGGCTATCATACTGAAACAGGGAAAATTCCATCTTTGCCCCCATTTTTATCTTTCCACCTTTTTTATGATTTTGGTGAATTCCCCTCTATTTTGGCACCAGAAACATTACAGGGTTTGAAACCCTTCTTCACCCATCATTCATGCAAAAAAACACTTAAAAGCTAACCTCTGTTTCGAACAAACCTGTGACTCACTGCTCTCTAATTTTTTCTGGCCAAGCCCACATTTTCCAGCACTGCCACCCCTCACCCACAGTTCTCTCTTTACACCCTCTCTGCTCTGACACATCCATGTCAGCCAGTGCCCAACCAAAAGTCTCTGTTCTATTTTCGTTTGGATATTGTATTGTGTATTGTTCACACACACATGCCCTCTGTTTTTATTTATTTACTTATTTATTCCATCATCTTCCACTACTATGGTGATTATCCAGTATGACTTTTGATTATTATCTATGAGGGTCTTTAATTTTGGATCCCTCTAGTTTTTAGCATATAGATATGTCATATGTGCAGTATAAATTATTTGTTGTGTATTTAAAATGTTCAGTTAGCCGACCTCATCTAGTGAGATAAGGCTTGATTGTAGTTGTTATTTGTTGTATCTAAAATATTCAGTATAGTGGTCATCCCACTGTAACGGGGATTTATAAGTATCAGCAGTAGGCTCAAGGGATCCAGAGCAAGGGAATACATAACAACTCAAAATACATCCCCAAAGCAAGGAGTGAGAACAATAGCAACCAATCCAATCAGACACAAAACACATCCAACATTAACACTACTCATTGTCATCCACAGTCAACTTTCTACACTATATTTAATTAACAACTAACTATCATATATTGAAATCAGCTATTATCCGAAAGGCGCGATATATAGCAAAATAGAATCAAATCAAATCAAATCAAAAGATAACACTAAGCCGGAATTCGAAAGAGTAAGTTCAAGTAGAAGACTTACAAAGGGTATCTTGGAGGCTTTGTCATTCCACACAGCCAATAATCCCAGTGAAGCAAAAAACCCCAATCCCCCACACAGCCAAGCCAATGCTTCATACTGGTTTCAAAATCAAAAAGTAAGAAAAATCGATTTCATGCGTTAAGGCTATTCTAAAATTCTCATAGGAAAACAAGCAATCACCTTTCCGACAGTATCAGCAATGCGATCTATACAAGGTTCAGGAAATGGAGTGCCGTTGTCCCACACAAGTTCGTCATTCACGGGAAGCTGAAACCGCCCAATTTAAAAAATGAGATTAATTTTAGGGTTCTAAGAAAATCAAAATGGGATATAGGTTAAGAGAAGCCTACGGGTTTGTCTGGAACATTATGTTTGCCGACCGGGAGGCCCATGCCGGAGCGAAGGCGTAGAGAGGAAGCTACGGATCGGTAAACGACGCCGTTTCCACCCAAGATCTTCGATGCTGCATTCGTCAATCTACCTGCCATGGTTGATGATGATAATTGTATGATTTCTTTCTCCTGATTCTTCTTCTCTTGCAACCTAATGTTACTGTGATCACCGATTATACGACATCGTTTTGAGATTTTTTATTTTTATTTTTATTTTTTTACGTATTTATCGTTTGTCAATTGAGTAACTGGATTGGATCTTCCTTTTAAAATGAGGTTCATGCTCTTAATCCAATCCACTGCATCATGTTCCATTTTTATTTTTTTTTGTTTCGATCATAGTCTTTTAAATAAAATATGCACATTTTTCCTTCTCGACACACATTTAAAAAATATATATGAGGAATATAATTAACACATTTACTGAAAAAGTTAAAATGAATGAGCATTTTGTAGGAAATGAAATATGGTGCTTGTATGATACAGCGATATCCGAATACTTTTTTTATATTTTACTAAGATATTAAAAAATATTTATATTTTTTTTAAATAAATCACTAATTTCATTATTAAAATTAACTGTTATTATTGTTTCCCATGTAAGAGAATAAAATACTCTCGATTTCCATATTACAGTAGAATTTACCAATTGTTAGCACTGTTCAGCGGAAAATGTGATATGCAATTAAACAGACCGTTTGCTTAATATTTTACGAAAGGATAATGATACTCATACGTAAAATTGGTATTTTACAATTTGAGAAAGAACGAGAGAGATGTGTTAGATAAAATAAGGGGTATATTTGACATACAAAAAAATGATAGAAAGTGTTTTTAAAAAAATAAAAATGTATCATTATTCTCTACGAAAATTTATATCTTTTATTATAACACCTTACATTTTATGCCTTCTACTTCTTAGTTACGTACTCATGCACTTTAATAGAGCTTGCAAAATGAGGTATCTTACTTATCAATTGGCTTTGGCGAGTCAAGCTAAAAAACTTGAATCTAATTATATTCACAAAAATAATGTCCAAAATAGGTAAGATTCAAATTATTGTAAGTTTTAATAAATTTAGATTGCATTAAACTTGCTTAAATCGGACTAAAAATATTTAAATTTACTTTCACTTTAAAAAGTTAAAGCTTAAACCCTACATTTTATTGAACAGGTTCAACTCAATAAATAAGGTAGATTCAGTTTTCTGATTTCTTCAAATTGATCAATATTTTATAGAAAAAAAAAGTTAAGAAAAATATGGATAATAATATATTTTTTATTTGATTACAAAAATAACTCTTAAAAATAGAAATTCAAAATAATTTTCTTCTGTTTTTTTTTTTCTTTGATTCAAATTTCAGTTTTTTTCTTTCCAGTCTTTTTTTCTCTACTCCAAGAAAGGATAAAAGTTGTCTCGCGAAACGTATACTAAAGTCAATTTTATCATAAAAACCGAGAATAAAAATAAAACTACTACTTCTGTATTTATTGCATAAACTTATAAAGGAAACAGAATATTGGGTTGCATTAACCTGATCAAACTTATGGGTAGTTTCTATCCCTGAATAGTTCACTCAGTTTTTAGGTCCATAATTTCATTAATATGGACTGATTATTTATTGCTTTTAAGTAACAGGATATCAAATTGAAAAGCGAAGATAATTTTTTTATATTAAGATCTAGAACTTGTTTGCATTCAAATCCAGTTTTCACAATTTCCGAAAGTAAAAATCACATTGTAATGGAATTTTTGTGAAAAGAAAAAATCTCCGATGGCTAAACTCCGTTATTGAAATTATACAAACAGAATGCAATTATAAGTCATAGGAAAATGCTGAAGAGTACGAAAAATAGTAAACAAAAACTGAAGAACCAAGTATATAACCATTACTCTTCATTTCCATCGAATACTAACTTATTTTTTATTTTTTACATTATTTGAATGTTTGTGGTAAGAAAGTAGTTTTCTTCGAATTGGCAGTCAGGTTTTTCGTTTTGCATACACAAACCCTTTTTACCGAAGGTATTACTTGCAAAACAAGAAGGTATTGAATGCGGTTTGAATTACCTAATAAATGTCATAGATGAACAAAAAACAACACAGGCGAAATTGCATTGCACCAATCCGATGTGTAGAATGCACACAAAAAAAAGCACAGCTATAGAAAAACGAAATATTACTGGACTGGTTAAATATTGTAAATAAAAGAACTTGCCCTGCAAGGGGTAAGGAGTAACATGAACAGTAACAATTTATGGCGTACCATATGAACAAGTACAAAAGCACTAACCAGCCAGCCAGAAAAGCTCGACTTGATCATGTAACATTCAAATACCCATCTGAGACTGAAGCTCTAGGATGGTTTTGGCAGAGTTCCTGAGCCTTTGCGTCTCCTCTTCATTCAAATGCACATTGGTGACACCCAGTACCCCTCCTCTACCAAGCTGTGCCGGCAAGCTCAGAAACACTTCCCCATCATCAATGCCATAAAACCCCTTTGCCATAACAGACACAGGGTGGATCTTCCTCTGGTCCCTAAGAATGGAGCGGGCCAAGCTAGCCACCGAGTACCCAATGGCCCATGAGGTGTACCCTTTCAGCCTTATTACCTCATAAGCACCATCTATCACACTCTTGTGTATGTTCTCCAACGTCTCTTTCTCATACGCAATTTGCTGATTCTTCAAAAAGCTTAGCACCGGAACCCCACCAATACTAATGCTAGACCATAGCGCCACCGAACTATCCCCGTGCTCTCCCACCATGTAAGCCTAATATCACAAATTAAATCACATGTTCTAGTTACTCCTGAAAAAATAGCGTGAAATTATAATTGGACATCATAAATTATTAAAAACATTTTATAAAAATTAGTCTTTAATTTTTAGAATAAAAAAGGAAACAGTAGTAATATTCTAACAATCACCTTTTCTTACATTTCATTTCATTGAAAACCATTTATTTCTTTTATTTTTTTCTATCTCTATTTTTTCCTACTTTCTATCTCCATGTGAAAAGGGAAAGTGAGCTTGACCTGTACGTCCTGAGCGTTGACGTCGAGGTGATCGGCGATGAGGAAACGGAAGCGTGACGAGTCCAAGTTGGTGCCCGACCCGATGACCCGATTCGAAGGGAATCCGGAAAGTTTCCAAGCGACGTAGGTGAGGATATCCACAGGGTTAGAAACGATGAGGAGAATGGAGTCAGGGGAGTAACGAACGAGGAGGGGTACGATGCTGCGGAAGAGGGAGAGGTTTCTCTGGAGGAGGTTGAGCCGGGACTCGCCGGCGATTTGGCGAGCGCCGGCCGTGACGATGCAGAGATCGGAGCTAACGGTGACGGAATAGTCGACGGAGGCGTGGATCTTGGTGCGGGGGAGGAAGGCGGCGGCGTGTTGGAGGTCGAGCATCTCACCGCGGAGTTTGTCGGCGTTGGTGTCGACGAGGACGAGCTCGTCGGTGAGGTCTTGGGTGAGGATGGTTTGGGCAATGGCCATTCCAACATTGCCGGCGCCGATGACGGAGATCTTGTTGTGGCGCTTGGTGGGAGAGGGAGGGGCGGCGTTGGTAATGGGCTTGAAGAAGACTTGGGTTAGGTCCAAGCCCCCCGGGCCCAACGTCGATCCAGAAGCGCTCTTGTGCATGGTGGTTTGTTTGTTGCTTTTGTGTGGGGTGTTGTAGATTTTATAACAGAGTGTTGTGTTTGGAAAGAATAATGTTGCGTGTTGAATGAACCCTAATACTGTGGTCGGGGAAAGGAAAGAAGAAGAACGGTTTGAGACTGTGTGGTCAGAAGGTCAAGGTCGAGCTTCTAGTTGGATAATGTGTAATGTAAGGTAAAGGAAGAACAACGCGGGTTTTAAAAGGTAATGTGGCGCAACCAAAACTGAGAAGTAAAATGGTGAAATATAAAACGGTATTTATTAATTTAGTTGTAATTTCTATACTTTTTATAAAAAAAAAAAAGTGTAAATTATATAGTATATATTAATTATTTTAAACTTTTTATAAGTCGTATTTATAAAATACAAGATACATGTATCTTTTAAAAAAATAAATAAAATTGAGATATACAATTTTTATATTCATTAATATTATTTTATATAAATAAAAGTCATATATATAATACTCAAACTTCTATTATAAAAGTCATATGTATATATGCTCAACTTCTCTGGATAAATTACTTAAATAGTGGATATTAGTAAAGTTGAAGAAAAATTTTCTAATACTAGTATTGTATATGTAATTTAAAATGCAAGTTATTTGAGAATATCTTATGTACTTTTAAGTAATAAAAATTAAATGAATAATTCTATGAACATGACCAAACATATCGGATGTAGTCTATTAGATGTAGTCAAACTTAAAAATTATCTACTGTATTAATAATACAGTTAAAGTGACATTAAAAATTTAAATAACTTGAATAATGAACAATATCTAAAAATTAATTCATAATCAATTAAAATCATAAAAAACTTGTCCCAGCGTACATGAGGAAAGACATGTTCTATGATATTGTCATTGTAAATGAAAAATAAGTCAAAGTAAATTGTGGAATATGATCTCATCTCTATGATTAAAGTAATAATAAATAACTGATTGTTTCGATTTGAGACATATTTGTAGTAACACGATTCAAAGAATGGAAAAAATGATCAAGATAGTGAAGCCCTAACTATAGGATCTAGCATTTAAGTCATGTAATAATAGTAAATACATTAAATGTATACGAGTACCTAATGTATTTATCATAAGAAAATCTGTATCATCCTTAAGATGTGAGCTCTTGCATGTTGGGTGCGAGTTTCATCCATCAAATTTTAACTCGCCATAATGTTTTTAACTCAACAACATATGAAAAAAGACAATCATAAAAAGAGGCAAAGTTTCTCATCCAATGTGTGCAATTTCACCAAGTTGCAAAATAACTGGAAAAAATTTTGAAAGAGAAGTGGACTTGAGCATTTGACCATCAATTTTGCTAAGTGTTTAAATTTAATCATAACGCTTTTTAACTCAACAACATATGAGAAGAGGCAACCACATACGGAGGCAAAGTTTCTCACTGTGTGTAGAATTTCACTAAGTTGCAAAATGGCTGGAAAAATTTTTGAAAGACAAGTAGACTCAAGCATTTGATGGAGGAATGCAAGAGATGATCATATGACCATTAATCTTGCCAAGTGTTTAAATTCAATTTTAAAGGGAGACCAGTCATTGTCAATTAATAGTTATTTTAGTTCTAACAACACTTCATAAAATAAATATTTTATTTATTGAACATGGAAAGAAGACGATGAATATGATAAATATGAGACATTTATATTGTGAAGAATTGATAACTATTATGATAGAAAATCATCACTTTTCAACCAGCAATTATGCTCGTAGTAATATGAAGGAGACCCAAGAATTTGATGTTGAAAAGCTTGGATATTTCATAATATATAAATATTGTTTTTAAGTTAAAAATATATATATACTCAAGATTTATCCAATAGAGTTTCGTTCACTGAAAAATGAAGAATACGAGCCTCAACAGTCAACACTTATGGTTTATTTATATACTAAATCCTTGTAAGAGATCCATGTGGATGCTCAGAAACGTTTTATATTTATACTGAGTCAAGATGCATAACGAGCCAAGTTAAAACTAAAAAATGTGAATTATATTGAATTAGGAACAATTGTCCACAATAATGATATGGAAGTCAAATTATTATTATATAATTTTGGTTTATGTAATCTTTACTTTAATTTTAATTAAATGATAATTTAAATTTTAATGTAATCTTAATTAAATTTTTATTATTATCTTAAAGTTTTAAAAAATATTTATAGACTAATTTTATAAAGATATGAACTACATTCTCAATAAATAAAATTAAATTGAATAAAAATTATTTTTTAAAAATTATTTTAATAAATAATTTATTAAAATATATTTTAATTATTATATATTAAAACAAAAAATTTATTATAATAAAAGTTATATATACGATATACGACTTTTATTTATATATTAAAAAATAATGAATCGTATATTATATATACGATTATGTTTCTAAATAAATATAAAAGTTGTATATCTTTATATAATTTTATTTTATTATTTTTTAAAAATATGGATAGTGAGAATCATATTTTATAAATACAACTTATAAAAAGTTAAAGATAAGTTATATATGCTATATACGATTTACGCTACTTTAGTAAAAAGTTTATAAGATACGTTAAATCAATAATTATTATTTTTTATTACGCTATGTTTGTAAAACGTAAAGTCTAAAACTATTCTTGAACCACAGTTTTTCATGTGGGGATTACAATGAATGGAACTGAGGCTATAAGCTTATGAAACACGTAAGAAAAATTATAGAGAAAGAAACTAAGAACATGTTTAATTTCATTTTTAAAAATAATTTGTAATTTTTAAAATAAAACGTAATATTTTTAAAAACAGTTTTTAGTTTTGTACAAGTACTCCGTGTTAACTTTTTTGGCATTGCTTCGCGTTGATTATTGAACTTTGAACAGGTCACGCATGCAATTCAAGACTTATTTTGTGTTTGGGGTGAGTAAATATGAGTTTGAGTCTTAATAAAATTAATTTTGTTTAAAAATGAATGTAAATTAATGTAATTTATGTTTATTTTTGAAAACTATAATAAAATTTAATATACATTTTTTAACTCACACAAAATATTTAAGAGTGAGTTTAAAAATAAAAATAATATTATTTTATTAAATACGTTGATGAAATAATCAAAATATATTTATAGTTATTCAATGTAATTTTAAAAAATGTAAACTTATTTCCAAAGAAACACTTATTATAAATATGTACCCAATGGGCAATGGCTCTGATTTCCTTCGTGCTTACCGCTTACTTATTAGACTTTAATTAAAACCGCCCCATGTAAGAATAGCAAACCCAGAAACGTACTGTTTTTAAATATGTTTTTAATTATTTATTAAAATTTATTAAAATTATAAAAATATTAAATTAAAAATAAAAAAGATAATTTGAATAATCTTTTGAAGCTTGATTGTGGCAAAAAAAGATAGTTAAAACACTCTATACTGCTCAGTAACAAAAATGGTTTTACACAGTAACGCAACCTCAATTATGCGACTGTGCTAAAAATTAATACATTTTATAATTTATTTAAAAATTAATATTTAAAATAAAATTTACTTAATTAATAGTTATATTAAAATTGAACTATACTCATTTTGTAGAGAGAAGTAAAAATATTTAATTTAGAAGTAAGAGTAATTTTTTTTAGTATGTAACTTGTCAAATATTTGAAAGCACACTTATATTTATATTTTAAAAGCAATTATATTTTATCACTTTAATAAAAATATTTTTAAAATATTATTCTAAAAAATAAAACAAGTTTTTATGTTACCTTAATCCTTTTAAAATTAAATTTTCAACCTTAAAAGAGACTGTTTTGTAGGATACAGTAAAATATAATAATATTGCATGTGATAAATCGTATGTTTAAATATCTACTTCTTTCTTTAGAACAGATTACATTTAAATTTCATAAATGTGTTATTTAAATTCCAAACTTTTTCCTTTCTAACACTGAGACATTATTTTTCTACTTAAAAATTTTATATACCAAAACTTATTCTTTTAATATTAATTTATTGTTAAAGTCAGATTATCAAAATTTAAAACAAACATTCCCTAAGTACACCAGCTTTAATATAATATGTTATTAAACAAACAATGAGAATTATGAGTTAAAATATATTTTAACTCTTAATATTATAAAAAAATGTATTTTTAATACCTAAAATGATATTTAAGTAAAAATTATGAGTTAAAAATATATTTTTCGTCTCTTATTTAATATTTAAACACATAATTTAATAAATAAAAAATATTTTCCTTAAATACTAAAAGTAAATTATATTTCAATATATGTTCAAAATCATAAAATAAAAACTTAATTGTCTATAACATTTTTTTAATTAAAGATCACGGAACTAAAAAAATTAATAACTTTAAATATTATAAGTTTTAGTAAACTTATATTATTTGTTTTATATCGTTAGATGATATTTGAAAAAAAAAATTAATAATATAATATTTTTAAAAATTAAAATAGTTTGTTTTTTATTTTGTGAAACGACGAACAGTTTGAACCTGAATCCACAGACGACAACAAAAAAGGATGGAAGAATTGGGCACTGACAAAACTCACCGTGGTAAGTTGAGGTGAGTCGTCACAGCCATTCGTAGCGAGTTTCCGGCAAAACTCGCCGCCATAACCGCCGATCACAATGGAGAAATCCTTAGCGGAGCTGGAGCGAGTCCAAACCAACCTTCTGCACCGCATATCAAAACTCGAGTATTCCCTTCTTCCATTATCTCCTTCACCAAACGACACCGTTTTCCCCCTCGTTGACGACACCGACACCGTGACTCGCCTCTCCTCCATTTTGCGCCACAACGCCGTCGACGACTTCTCCTTCAAAAGAGTCCCTCCCGGTTACTACGATTGGCCCCTCGAAGCCCGTCGCGATGCCCTCTCCGCCGCGTCCGTTGACCATCTCTGCAAAAGCATCGTTCTCGTTAACACGCAAGCGCCCTCCACAGTCGTCGATTGCAGTGATCGCAACAATTCCAAGTACTATGTGGTTGTTGTTCAGGTTCACTCTCTCTTCTTGTTCCTCTCTTCTTCTCTCTCTCGTTGCTTCCGCTAATACGAATTGCTCTGTTTTTGCAGTACACTGCTCGCTTCAATGCCGAGGCTGTGAAAAATTTTCTGTATTCGCTCAACAAAGGAAGTATAGCGAAAAAGAAATTCAACTGTAAGCTATTTTGCTTTATACATTTTTTTACTTCTTAATCCTTTCTCTATTATTCATTTCGTTATATATCTATGGAAAATTTTTGTGTTATTTATTTTCCCTTAATTTTACACATTTAAATTTATGTTAATTATATTGCAATTTGCTATTGCTTAGAAGGTAATATTGGTTTTTAATTTGTTATTAATTACACAGTGAGGCTAGCTCCTGAGGAGATATCAGCGGAGTTAACTGGATATGGGCACAATGCAGTGACTTGTATTGGCATGAAAACAGACATTCCGGTAAAGACTGGACCTGTGATTAGTATAGAACAATTATGATATATATATATATATATATAATAGACGAGAAAGTATTGAATCTTGACAACAACTCCGAAATATGTCCTTATTCACTGTTTAAGGCTAGTATTGAACCATTTTTTGTCATGCACAGCAGCACTTGGCTTGGTAGTTGAAAAAGACAAGTGTCATTTGGTAACTTAACATAAAACCTTGAATGGGAATTTTTTTTCTTGGCTTAGTCAATGTTTAGAGATTGCAACTTATGACCTCCTTTTCATACTCATGGTATTGATGTGATCTTGCTGATTACATGTGCCCTTAATATAGATTTTTCTTGATACGTGCTTGGCATGTTCTGTCTTGGACTGGCACTGAAACTTCTTTTCTTTAGTTGCTTACAATAGGACACTGCCTCTTGTTCTCTACTCTAGCATGTTGGCAGAGGGTCAATACGCCATTGTTCTTTTGGAGTGTCCCCTTTGTAGGATATATGGATCTGAATCCTTCCAGTCTTTTTTCTAGCTTTTTCACTTGTCTGTAACTCTAAATTATGTATGTGTATCTATCTAAAATCCCTGTTCGAAGTGACACAGAAATGTGTAATTTTTAGGATGTGGTAACAGTTGCTGTATGTATTGAATGTCTGCGAGATTGGTTTTCTGTTATTCGCTTCCCTGTACAAGTAGATACTAACATATTGTTTGGTTTGAGGGGAACAGCAAGGATACAAATTGTAATAAATATTTCTTATTCTGTTCAAATATTTGGAAAATGAGGTGTCAAAAACCCCTCCCCTCCAATATTGGGGGAATTTTTTTTTTTTCCTCTTCTCCCCTCCCCTTTTTTGAACCAAGTAGTCCATTGAACTGATGAAAGATGTAGTTGTCAAGGATCTTCCTATCTGATTTGTCACTTATCATTTCATGATGCTTATTTTATGTTGAAGTATTTGTAAGATCTTTGAACATAGGTCATAATTGCTGGGATTTAGGATTATGTATAGAAATAACATATAGAAATGGAAATTATAAAAAAAGTTCATTATTGATCCATGCGAGAGCCAAAATTAGTGTTAAGATACATACCTCTCGAAGTGAGAGAAGTCATTGTTAAGGTTGCAAATCACAACCACTGTGAATGGCATAACTCTGATATCCACACTAACAGAACAGTCTCCAAGAACAAATCACAAATGCATAGATGGAGTTCTTCTTGTCTAGCCACAATGCCAATTGTTAGATGGAGTCCTGTTCTCCACATCATCCCTTAGGTGTTTCTGAATGATGGCCAGGCTTTTATGTTTTCTCACTCTACATTTTGCAGCCTACATGTATCTCCTTATATGTAGGCACTAACCTAAGCCAGAAAACCCCATGTCCTAGTCAGACTTTTATTGTAGTCTTCCGTAAACTCATGTTACAAATTTAAACTATAAATTAAATTGAAGTGTGTGGCCCTATAGGTTTTCAAAACATTGAACTAACATTCCATTTTGTTCTATGAAATTGGTAAAGCTCCCTTGCAACATGTACAGAAAGTGATAGTGATTCAACATAATTTGTCCAGAACACCATTATCATCCAGAATAGTTGGTTGTGTCTCATATATCCCAAGTTGCTTGTTTTTAGTTTTAATGAGTAGACTTTCTAAGATAAGTAAGATCACTATTTGATATTGATTCATTTGAGCATAGTAATGCATTTACAGTCGTAATCAAGGGGCTTGAAGATATGACCCCTGTTACTTGGTAGGACTATCACATTTAGATTACTTACATCCTTTGCATGATTTATAATTATCAACTGCATATCTAATTATCAACCTTGTGGCATGCAACAGGTTGCATGCAACATTTGATAGAATTAAAATGTACAACTTCTCAAGTTGGGAACTACAGTGGCATAAGGTTAAAGGATCAAATACATCATTATCACTCCTAGAATTGTTTATGACTTATAATTATTTAAGTCCAACGTATTATTACTTAAGTGTATATGTGTGCGTGATAACTTGAAAACTCATATCTACAACTTAGATAGTCATGTGTTTGTAGACTCAGTGCACATACTAGTCTCTATGCATTATTGTTGTCCTAATTCTCAATTGTCCTTGGCTAAGGACATTTGAAAATACAAAAATCAAGCCTTATCTCACTAGGTGAAGTCGGCTACATTGCTTACGCAATACCATTGTACTCGGTCAAAAATGAAATTTTCATAAATTTAATTAAATGAAATGTTTCTTTTAATAACTTTGTCTTAGGTTCTTTAGGATCTCCCTCAACCCCTCTTTACTAGACTAAAAACCATGAAATTTACTCTCTGTACTAGCGCTTCCAAAGATTTTCTCTGCACATGATGAAACCACCTTAAACAATTTTTAATCATCTTTTCCATTATAGTATTATTTCAATATGCTCTTGTATACTATCATTTTTTATTTTGTCCTTTCTTGTGTATCCACTCATCTATCTTAGCATTTTCATTTTTGTTACTTTCACTTTTTTTCTCATGTTTTTCCTTTAAAGTCCAACTTTCACTACCATTAAGGACAGTAGGTTGTATTGTCGTACGATAAAATTTTCCTTTTAGTTTGATAGGTATTTTAGGGTCAAAAATAACTTGTAATGTTTTTTTTCATTTTAACCATTCAACTTGTATTATATGACTAACATCTTCATTTTTTCTCCACATTTGTATAAGTGATCCTTAGTACCTAAAACTGAGAACTTGTAGTATAATATCATCTCAAAGTTTAACTTTCAATGCATGATCCTCATCTTATTTTTTTGCTGAAGTTACAATGCATTTATTTTATCTTACTTTTACTCAAGTGAAAATCCTTAAATTTTAAAATTTTTCTCAATAACTCAAGTTTAACATATTCTAATTGGGAAGTCCTTAGATACACCCTCATACGTATCTTGTATAGCCTGAATATATGTTACATGAACCATTTCTTTTCTAAAGCCTTGCAGAACACTTCTTTTGATACTTGATCATATGTCTTTTCCAAATCAATAAAATTTATGTATAAGTCCTTTTCTTTGTAGCAATATTTTTTTATCATCTTTCATAAAAAATATATAACTTCTGTTGTAGACCTTTCTAGTATTAAATCTAATTGATTTTCTACCATCTTAATTTTTTTTCGTATTACTTTGTTCAATCACCTTTTCTCACAGCTTCATATTGTGACTCGAGTTTAATATCTCTATAGTTCGCACAATTTTAGATATCACTTTTGTTTTTTGTATATAAGAATCAAAGTGTTCTTCTTCCATTCATTTGACATATTTTTAAATCTCATAATAGAGTTTAGTGATTCACTTCAATTCTTGTTTTTTCAAACTTTTCCAAACTTCTATAGGGATATTATTAGGGCGAACCGTTTTACCATTCTTCATCCTCTTTAAGAGCTTTTTTCACTTTTCTGATTCAAATCCCAAGGACATATGAAAATAGTGTTACAATTTTATACAATAGTCATTAGTAATACACTTGATATTTTATGTCATATTGTCATTGCACTTATTATTGTAAAGACATTATTATGTTCATTTAATGAAAAATCAACACAAAAATGAAATGTCTCGGATATTAGTAAATAACATGATATAAAATAAGCCAGTATGGTCGACATATACACTTGGCCTCTGGGGCGGAGCATATATGAGTACTGACTAGATTGGAATGAATCTTAGACTGTACTTTTCCTCCTATGACAAGGATAAAATTTGAGGCATTCCTTGGCACACCTCTTACCATCCCATGAATAATGTTTAAGGGCTCAATGTCCGCCAATTAATTTCAACATTTCTTCTGTTGTTGCATTATCTTTAAATCACATTCCATTTTTTTCCTAGCTTGATAGCTTGATTCCTTATGTATAGAAGATTAATCTTCAAGTTCTTCCTTTATTGATTAGATATTATGGGTTGATTTCAGGTGATTTTGGATGAAGCTATTATAAAGCTAACTCCAGATTTCTTTTGGTTGGGTGGTGGTGAGGTTGATCTGAAGCTAGGGATCCGGACATCTCAATTAATCAAATTTGTCAACCCATTCATTGTCAACTGTAGCGGTAGTTGATTTTTGTTGAACAGAAAGTGGTCACGATAATTGAGTTTGGGTGGAAAGTTTCCATTTCCAGCTTTCCATTGTTGATTTTGTTAGATTTGAATTATTGCCCCTTCAGGAAGATATTTATTTTAAATAGCTGAGTTTTGTGGTTTACTTATCATTATAATTTACAGAGATTTGAGTGCAACCGGCATCATAGATTCATACTATATGTTTGTTGAGAGAGTGAATAACATCATCAGAAAGAGAAGGATAAGTTTAGCTTTTTTATTATGATTATCATTTCATATCATGAAGAGTGTGCTGAGGCCATAATGATGATTAATCAGAAAGAGAAGAATAAGTTTGGCTTTTTTATTAATAATTTTCACTTCATATCACGAGGAATGTGGCGGATAATGATGATTCTTTTGGCTTTCAGATAGAATTCTTGTATATTAATGAATTAAATAAGATTTAAATCTCTAAAACATTGACAATTTTATCATATAATCTTTTATTTTTAATTTTTTAAAATAAGTTCTTAAAATCCTTTCTCATTCTTATATGATTTCTCTGTTAATGATTTATTAATTTGTGTTATTTGCCTTCAGAGACATTTGAGTTGACTTGTAATGACATGAAACTAATGTAGATGATAATGTGACGTGGCATTTACACTTTTTTAATTTCAATATTTTAAACTTTGTAATTTAAAGTTTCATTTAAAAATATAAAAAAAGGTATTTTCTTTTTATAACGTTTCGATGAAATTATGAGCTAATTTGAATGTTATATAAATAAATAATAGAACAATTTAATAAATTGTTAATAAAGAGATCAAATGAAAATGAAGAACGATCGATTAAACAAAATGAAAAGAAACCAAAAGAGAAAACCAGATATGGATGATGAACAACGGAGAAGATAATTGAAACACTGAGAAGGAAAGTTTTTAACATTAAACAGTTTCTTCTTAGAAATTATATACAACTGTACATAATATTGAGGGCAATGTTCTTTGATACCAAGTACCATCGTCAATTCTTGAGACAAGCCACTGAGGGAGCAATCGGATTATTGCGCTGATCTATAAAATGCTAGTGGGAAGTCAGATCCCCAAAGGTGTTCTCCCCACTGTAAGTAACATAAAGAAACCCATCTTCATCCTTCTTCTCATCATATATGGAAGACATAATTGCTCCTGAAAATTTTGAGAAACCCAGGAAAGACACAGGTAATACTAGTTTATATTAGAAGGCCTTATATTTTAGAATCATCTCGAAAAAACAAAAACAGAAGAAATGACCAAGAATATGATTCCTGAAGTTTACCTGTAGGTGGAAGGACGTTGTCAACAAAAATAAAGATTGCCTTTTCTGCACTTAATTTAATCCTTTTGCGAATAACATAGACAAACTGTCCAACAGTCAGATCAGCAGGGACTAGGTACCTACAATGTATTCATTAAGTTTGACAGTTAAAACAGTGAGAGAGAATACGGCTGCTAGCACCAATTATGCACCTTATAAATTTTAAATGTCAACTAGCAAAAAGTCATCCGACAATGGTAACATTACAACAAACAATATCTAACACCATATCTACATGCTATAATCTGACGGGAGCAAATCTAATTCGTAACCAAAAACTCATATAACATCAAAATCTTCTGAAAATACACAACTAATTCAATTTTGTTTACCTAATTCAAAATTCAGGTCCCCTAACAAAATAGAGAGCATAAATACAGTAGAGACCACAACTATGGCTTTAGCTACACATAAATATCATGAACTCATCCCTTACTAATATCAGCCAATTTCTCAACTACTGCTCATTGTCTATGGTGCCCAATTCAGTACATTATTCTGTTCAAGTCAGTCCATAATCAAATAAGTCTTTACAAAAACATGTACTTAAGTAAAAAATACATGCCAAATTTTAAAAAAATCTAAAAAAAAGATATGCTATCAAATATTCAAATTATCTTTTCTTTAAAAGCATGTTGAATGTTAATTTTAAAACAGTGGCATGACTTTCATGGTACACAATTTCAATCAAATGTGTATTTTTCTGGAAATTTCATCTACTAAAACAGATTCATTGGAGCAAGCTTCTGAATCTACAAACTAAACTTGTAATGATCGCAGCCATGCATAGATAGATAAATAGAGAAAATTTTCTGGAGATCCAGAAATATTGCTAAAACAAAAGCTGCAATTCTCACCTTCCTCTTACACTAGCTACTAGACATCGCCTTCCAAAATGTACATTAAATATGCTTTAGTTTAAATACATTTAATAACAAAATTATCATTTTCCTTTCCTTTTGAAGAAAAAAAAAATGAGAAGAAACAAATAATGTGACATTTTCAGATTATACGAGAAGTATTGCAAAATCTTACTTCTTCTTGTCAATACTTGGGATATCACTTCTTTCTGCCTTCTCCACAATCACCTTCAGGCACATTGAGAGACAAGTTAGCACAGTAACTATATATTTATCACTAATGTACATTTTTCAAGTATCGCAGGTACAGAGGGAAGCAACTAGAAGCATAAGTTAACATGGATTGCCCATGACTGATATTTATAGCATTGTAGAACTGCCTGGACACGTAAAATCATCCTATCTCTAAATCTGGATATAACCATCTCATTAAATTGACGCCTAATGATCTAAATGTTGCAAGTATAATATTTAAATCAGAGCAAAATAAAATGAAACAGATCAACCTCCTTAGCATTGTATTACCATAACTAAGAAGACTAGTTCAAAGCACCAAATAAATAGCTTGAAGGCATAAGATACTTGCATTACTGAATCCAACCTTTCATAAGTAAAAAATAATCCGAATACTTGCAATTGAATTGAATACATTCTATAATTCAGCAGACTCTGTAATCAGTCATCGAACCTTCGTTAAACAATTTCACCATAGCGAAACTTTATGCATGTCAAGATCAAAACTATAAAAAATGAAACAGGCTATTTATCATGCAATATAACTTCATTGAGCCTTCCAGTAAAGTATATCTCCACAAAGAACACTAAATCCTGAATATAAAAAATGGAATTATGAGAAATGCATTCATCACTATCAACATGGAAGGTGGCGAATGAAGGATCAAGGATCCCACTTCCAGTGATATTCTTACAACAAAGGTCAAGCACTAGTCAGCCGTATATGCTGCCAAATCAAAACATTAAAGAGATAACAGAACAAAAGCAACAATTGTTTAAACAACAGAATACTTTATAGGGCCCAAAAAGTATAGATATTGAAAACATCGGCTCCTCAGCAGGCAAAACATATAAAAGAACAACACTGTTTCTGCATCAGTAAAAGAAGGAAAATGGCTACAATTTCTCACCGGGATACGATCTGGGTATTTCTCTCTAATCCTAGCAGCCTCAGCTCTTCTCTTCTCTGGACACAAAACGAACCATTTATTTGTATATTACTTAGCTTTCAACAAACACAATCAAAATAATTATGTTTCACCCAAAAAAAAAAATACCAAGATCATGCTCTTGTTTGAAGTAACTCTTTGCCATTCTTCCTGCAATTAGAATAAAACAAAAGTCAATTAAAAATTTTGGAAACCCAATTAGAGCTAAACTGATGCATCGTCCATTCATCCAACACTGGTCAATCACTCAAACCAATAACACTTTTAGAAATCAAATAAACCAAAAAAGGAGCATCTTTGAGACACACAAAAATTAACAAATAAGGACACAGCAATAGTCACAAAAATCAAGAAGTTTGAAGTTGGGATTACACCCGAAATTCATTCCGAAAGGAGGGGAAAAAAAACTAACAGAACATTAATCTTCGTCATATAACATAAAATTGAAAAGAGCTAAAAAATTCAGCTTTGTTTTTCTGTGGAATTTCCGATCAACTATAAGAAATGGAATTCAGGAAAAGGGAAAAACCTCCAATCGACCGTAATAATCTTTCCTCAAACAAAGCGGTTCCAATAAATTACTAGAAAATATGTTGGGCGATTAAAAATTTTGGAAACCCAAAACGTTGGAGTTGACAAATTTAAGAATACAATTGAGTTAAAAAACCTCGTGAAGACGATCGAAAAATAGAAGAAAATCAACTCTGGTTTCTTGCTCACAACTCAACAAAAGCCGTATTTGCTTTAAGAAAAGATATATATTGCTACTTTGCTTTGCTGTCTTTCGCAACAAATTATATTATTTTAGAAAAATGTTTTTTGTACGATTGAAATGGATGTTTTTAATCTTATGTGTTTTTTTTATATATATTAAAGTTATATTTAAAATTGAATTTAAATATAATATTTTTTTTATACTAACACTTAATTATGGATTGTCATAATAATAAAAATTGATATATCTAATCTTCCGAATAAATCCATGAATTTTGTATGCGTTCATGACATGTATTTATAATAATTTTTTTACTACCACTTAATTTAGCTTTCGAACAGTCTATACAATAATTGAGGAAATGTGCTTTAAAATAGTTGAAGTTTAAACTTCTGACCAGCAACAAGAAAAAAAAAAACACTAATCTTTATGCTTAATTTTCAAAAGAAAAATTAATTTAACTCATTAATTAACTAAAGAAAAAGACTCACATAGTCACATACAAATATAAAATTTAATATCATATTTTCAGCAGTACTCAATGGCTAAGCCCACGGGCCATTGGCTCACCTCATATGCTATCATTAAATTAAATATAATGTTTAAACATTAACGTTTAAATATTTGAAGTTTTAGCATTATTTACTAATCATATTCATTGGCTAAGTCCACCGGCACACGTCATCTGTTATCATAAAAATATATATTTTTGCCAATACACAATTAGCTTTCCATTATTTTTATAAATGAAAAACTACATTAACATTTAAATCTTTTATACATACCATATATATTTTTGTTACTTTAAAATCATTTTAGACTAAATAAATAGTGAAAAATGTATATTGTCAGTAAAATATATGTACAATTTATCATAAAAATAATTATTCAGAACTTTTTTTATTCACTCATTATTTTATATAGTTTTTTTTTACATAAAAAAGTTATTATCCTTTATTCATTTAATGGTCTATTTTTTTTACCACAATAATACAATTTTAAAAAATACATCAAAGTAATATTGTTTGAAAATTATTTATCAAAATAAATAAATTCAATGTATTGAAAAAGTGTTGAACAGAAACAATAAGCACAAAACGCTAGAATGTAATGTCACATTCTAATTTTTGTTGGTCATATTCAAAGGCCACAATACATTTGAAAATGAGACATCTTATATTCTTATAGATTTCTTTTTCTTTTTCTTTTTCTTTTATGAATTAAAATTTAACTTGCAACGCAGTTTTATGTGATGTATCTCTTAGTATTGAAGTTTGAACTCAAAATTATAACTTTAATTATTTTACCAATTTTACTAAATTTTAAAATTAAAATGCAAAATTTAATTTTTCTTCCACATCATCTAAAGTTTTGAATTGAAAAATTAAAGTTTTAAATTTCATCCTTCGGTTAAAATGCAAAAAATAAAAATAAATTCAAACTTAAATAATATAAAAAATTAATTTTTAATTTCAAACCTTTACCAAAGGAAAAATAATAAAATTTAAATTCTAACATTAATTAGTGTCATACACTAAATATAGTGAATTCCAATTTTTAATATGTAAAATAAAAAAAATGCAATATAACAAATTATAAAACATTTTAGTAGGTTGCATCTATTGTTTTAACTCAATATTTTTATAATACTAAATTAAATTATTTTAATAATTAATTTTAAGGATATTATTTGAGTAAATAATCTGTTTTTGTCCACTAATAAATAATCTTTAAAATGGCATTATGGTAAAAAAAAAGAAAAAGGCCTGAATGTTTAACCCACCGAAAGTATGAAAAAGAAGGAAGCTAGTTCTAGAATAATGCGTATATTCCGTTAGATTTTTTATTTTTTTTTTCCATCTTTTTAAATTGGGGCTGCTTAGTAGACAAGTGACAACCGACCAACCGATAAGGGTATTTTCGGGCGAAACCATTTGAAAGAAAAGAGAAGGAAATATTATTTTCTAATTTTAATTTAATATTTTATTATAATAATAATAATTTTAAAATACAAAAAAATATTATCATATATTTTAATTATTCTTATTGATTTTACAACTTTCACAATTTAAATTAAAAATTAATCCTTTATTACCTTTTCCTTCAAATACGTATTCTAAATATATTCTTATAATTTATTTTTTTAAAATAAAAAAATTTGCTAACATGAGTAATATTAATTTTTTTAAAATATATTAGTAATATATATATATCAAACTATTTAAATAAAAAATTATATTTTTTTATACAACTGTATTGATAGGGCTATTTTAAGAAATTAATTTTATTTTTAAACAAAATTTTTATTTTCTTTCTTTTCCTCTCATATTTTTCTTAGTCGTTTTCTTTTAATATACATAATTAAGATTTTATTATTTTTATTTATTTTTTTATTTCAATCTACTTAAACTAAATTTAATTACCATTTTCTACTGTAACATGGTATTTTATAATCTTTTACAACTTTATACAGTCATCTTATATTATCTAATTTCTAGATAGATGGGTAAATTCTACTCATCTAGTATAATATCAATTTCTTATTTTTATAATCATTCTAAACTTATTTAATTTTTTTTACGAAATCCTTTTTGTAAATGAATAAAATTAGTTAGCATTAGCACTGTATTGAAGTAAAATGAGTTGACCAGTTTAAGGAGAACTAAAATTATGTTTGTAGTTGTAATTTGTAATTTATTCAATGGTCTTTTAAAATGGTATTTAATTTTCAAAAGTTAGTTATACATGATTTTAATTTTTTTATTTTTTATTTAAAATAATAAACAATCTATTCACTATACTATTAAAATATCATTACATTCCTTTATTTTATTATTTATTATTTTCTTTACTTTTATAATAATTTTATTTTTTTATATATCTATTTCATTGCTTCTTCTGCTAAATATATTTTATATTAAAAAATATAACTTAAAATATTTTATGTACAAATATAAATATATATATATGTAATTATTTTATTTTATATAATTATTTAATTATTTATTTGTAAATAAATAAAATAAATAATAATTAATTTTAATATTATATTTATGTAATATTTTACATTATTTTAAATTATTTAACATAAGTCAGTTAATTACACAACTAGTTTATTAAATAATTTCAATATTATAAACTTTTATCTATAAATTTATAACTTTCAACTAGTTTCACAGATAAAAATTATAAGTTACAATTTTCAATTTGTTTTATTAAACATAGTTTAAACTTATTTTATAATTTTGTTATCTAATTCTTTCAATTTTTAATTTTTTAATTACATTCTTCAAAAATTAATTTATTCAATAAATTTTAAGAATTTAACTCTAAAATAAAAGAAAAATTATCATCCATATTCTAAACTTAAAATTTTTTTTTTTTTTTGGCTTAAAATGAAAAAGAACTTGTTGCACAATCAAAGATATGATTTAATTGTAAAATTATTCTTGTACCATCATCGAATATTGTATATAGCTTATTTTAGGATACTTACTTAAGATAGGAAATATACTTGCGTAGTTTATAGAGATTCAGTATAATCTTCTCTTAATATCATGTAATTGATCAGACATCTCTTGCATATATTTTTGTAATATGATTGAATGAAAACACAGTCCATTACTTTCATGGTATCAGAGCCTAGTTATTGGACTGTACTTCCTCAATGCCTCTACCCCTATTGCTGCCCTTCTCACCACCTCACCCACCACTTGGCATGCGCGTTTCGACCATCCTTTGCCCAATGCTCTTAAGTGTTTAGCTCTTGGTCTTGGTTTTAATAGAGACTCTTGTGATCATTGTGAAGTATGTCATTTGTCAAAACAAACAAGACTTTCCTTTCCCTTACATATGCCCACTAGTAACTCTTTGTTTGATTTAATTCATGTTGATATTTGGGAAAAATATTCTACACCCACAAAAAATGATCATTGTTATTTTTTAACTATTGTTGACAATTTCTCCCGAGTCACATGGACTTATCTCATGAAATTTAAGTCTGATGCATATTCTTTACTTGTCCATTTCTTAGCTTACGTTCGAAATCATTTTCATACATGCGTCAAAACTATACGATCTGATAACGGTATTAAATTTACCAATCATTCATATCAAAAACTACTTCATGAATCTGGCATTCTACGGCAATTTAGTTGTCCAGGTACCGCTCATCAAAATGGCATTGTTGAATGTACACACCACCATCTTCTTAATATTGCCCGAGCTCTACGTTTTCACGCTGGCATTCCACTTTCTTTTTAGGCGGATTGCATTCTCACTACTACCCATCTTATCAACCACACCCTATCAAAAGTTCTAGGTGATAAGACTCCTTATGAGAAACTTTATGGCCTCTCCCCTGATTTCAATCATCTACGTATCTTTGGTTGTTTATGCTATGCATCCACTTCTCATGACCATCCAAATAAATTTGAACTAAGAGCTAGACGCTGTATTTTTATCAGTTACCCCACTAGTCACAAAGCCTATCAACTGTCTGACCTCATCCATCATAAGTTTTTTGTCAGTTATGATGTCATCTTTCATGAAACTATATTTCCTTTTAAAATTGATGAGTCTTTACATGCCTCATACACAGACTGCCTCCCTCTCCCTCTACCGTTCTTAATCAAGATTCCACTACCTTGCCAAATATCACACATACGAATGACCCCTTCCATCTTCTTCTGCTGCTGTCCCCACCCCTGGTCCTGCATCTACTACTGCGCCCAACCCACCACCCAGACGCTCTCAACGTATCCCACAACCTTCAGTTCGCCTTGCTGATTATTCATGCAATATGGCCTCCGTTCAATCTTCTTCATCGTCTCAAGGTACACAATATCCCATCTCCCGCTTTCTTTGCTCTCATACATACATAACTAATCATCTTCATTTTATCAATTCCATTACCAAATACATTGAACCCACCTCATATATTGTTGCTTGCAAAGATTCAAACTGGCGACAGGCTATGGCGGACGAAATAAAGGCATTAGAGGCCAACCACACTTGGACTTTGGCTGTTTTGCCTCCTGGAAAGATAACTATCGGTTGTATTAATAAAATGCTTACTGTGATGCAAATTGGGCTTCTTGCCCCCACATCTAGAAAATCAACCACTAGTTATTGTCTTTTTTTGGGACCAAGTCTTCTTTCTTGGCGTACCAAGAAGTAATCCACAGTTTTTCGCTCCTCTGCCGATGCTGAATATCGGCCTATGGCCAGCGTTGTTATTGAACTCACATGGTTACAAACTCTGCTCCATGAGTTGGGTATTCCACCACATCCTGCCAACTTATCATGTGACAATCAAGCCTCACTCCACATAACAAATAATCTTATTTTTCATGAAAGAACAAAATATGTTGAAATTGATTGTCATTTTGTTCGAGATAAAATTCAACAAGGATAACTTCGAATCACTTTTGTACCCTCTAACCAGCAACTAGTAGATATCTTCACCAAGGCCTTCTTCCAACTTCACATACTCAGTTGATTTCCAAGCTCATGTCCTTTCCTCGCCCTTGAGCTTGAGGGGGAGTGTTGCACAATCAAAGATATGATACAATTGTAAAATTATTCTGACCATCATCGAATATTGTATATAGCTTATTTTAGAATACTTACTTAAAATAGGAAATATACTTGCCTAGTTTCTAGAGATTCAGCATAATCTTCTCCTAATATAATGTCATTGATTAGATATCTATTGTATATATTTTCGTAATATGATTGAAACAGCCAATTACTTTCAGCACTTATCTTCTCAAAATCTAAATTTATATAATTCTTATAAATTTATTTTTTCCTAGTTCTTGTTTTTTCCTAGTTCTCACAATTTTTTTTATCGTTATTCATAACATTTTCATATCTCTTATATTTTCTTACAAAATGTCTTAAAAAGCTCTTAATTATATATTTTCACAACTTATGATCAACTAGCACTATCCCTTTAATCAATTAGCGAAGTTCTACAGACCTAATTCATTAATCATGTCCCTTAGAAATAAACATAGATTTATTGATAAACCCTAAAAGTGCTGCTTTTTTTTTTCAATACCCAAAATCCTAGTTGAATGAACCTAATCAATTAACAGTCTAGCTCTAATCAATTAGGGGGACTTTTAATCAATGATGCTTATGAGATCCAAATTTCGTAATTTTTTTTTAAATCACCTAATTAAGCAGCATTTGTCTAGCATACAATTAGCAAAGTTCTGATATTAATAAAATGGAATCGCCCATATTTTCTCCAATATTCATATCAGCCTATGTTTCATTTATTTCACCTATATTTTGAGTTTCGAAAGCACCGTACTTAACCATGGAATCCCCCGCCTTCTATCAAATTTTAGAAAATTAAAAAACTTAAAGGAGAATTGAGCTTTTTTTCCTTTTTTTTTTTTTTACAAATAAACATTTATAATTATAATTATTTATAAAATAGTATATATTATTTTAGGTTGATGGAAGATATATTCAACATTTACAATATGGAATTAATTCCAGCAAGTAGTGATTTACTATACAAATTTTCTAATGGTTCTGTTACACCCAAATCCTAGCTTATATAAACATTGTACACCAAGCAAAATCTGAAAGCCTTTACAAAATTGTAAAATCACTACATATGGCTTTTAGTCAATATTTAGGCGAAGGTCGCTTGATTTGGGAAGAGCTGAAAGAGTATAGTCATTCTCCAGTGAAGATGGATCAAAGGGCAAGAAACTCTCTTGCTTATGCATTAAACGCCAATCTTCAATGTAGGTCCCCCGACAAAAATCCACGTGAGGAAATGCTCTCTTTTCTAGCATTTCTATGATCTTCTTGGTTTTACCAAGAATGTAAACTGCATGTCTCACAGTATCTTCCCTCTCTTCAATGGGGCTATTCAAACACTTGGTGGATATAACAAGAGGTAAGTTGGTGAGACATGCACCCAATATATCAGAAATCATCCCTGTTAGTGCTTCAAACAACCGCTCACTTGTGTTGTCTTTTATGAGTTCCTTATTTAAGAGAGCAGTTTCGCTTATTCTGTACAAGAAGTTAGATGCCAAAACTTTGAAGGGCCATGATGAAGGGCTTACCTTTATGCATATGTGGTTATATTTGGCTTTGAATTTCGCATACCTGATTTTTGCAGCTTCAACTAGCTTCTCAAGTGTCTCTTTGGGGCTCTTATCTTGAAGTGAGAGCGCATAAAGATCCACATCTAGCCACTTATCATATAATTCAACTCCAAGCCACACAATTTCTGCTGCTTTCTTAAGTTGAAGTAATTCTCCTTCTTTGTCCAGGTTATTTTCTATGAACTTCACAAAGGGGAGCCCTTCGTTTAGAGTACTTATCAACTTTTTAACTGAACACCTATTGATATTTGGCAGCGCTACTATAATGCTAGCTAGTGTCACAAGAGGAAGTGACCAACTATATGGAGCTTCTATAGCATGTAAAGAAGGAACTTGGTCACTGTCAAATGCTCCCACTCCCTTGAATCCATTCAAAATAGAACACCTCTCTAATAACTCCATGAGAAGTCTTGGCTGCTTCTTTTCTCCTACTTGAACCCAGTGATTAGTGGCATCACGGTTTTGTTTCACCATCACCTCAACCAATTCTTCCTCACCTTCAAGATGCAGAACAAAACGTCTCAGATCAAGCTTTGGGTCAGGCTTTGACTCTGTCCCTGAGCTGGCACTTGACACACTGAAATCAAATTTGGATTTCAACTTCTTACAATAATCACAACATATCAGAATCCAGCACATAAGGGATATTGAAACATATTGGGTGGCTTTACACATTAGTACAACCCCCATCTGAAGCTTAATACAGAAACATAACACAACAAGTTTTGCATCATGGGCTAACTTTCTGTACTGTCTATTATGGATTCTAAAACCAAGAGGGCTTTCTTTAATCATCGTAAGCTTGGTAGTCCAGTATCCTTCTACATGGAATATTCTCTTGCAACTCTTGTACCGTACACTTGGGCACCTATAATTTATGGCAATGAACCATCTAAAAGCAGGTGCAATAGTTCCCACTACAACTGCAGCAACCTGAACTATGAGAATCAAAATAGTGGACCACTTGTAGTCAGAGTCACCATTGCAAAACTTTAAAGACCAAGACATCAAGTAAGATCTAAGCATGGCCTCTACTAATGTCAAGGTACTTAGAAGACAGAAAGCACCAGCAGCAGTGCATGTCACTGACCTTCCGAGAACAAATTGAGGACTGCTTGTGTGAGTCATCATCCAAATTTTCATTAGTTGATCTCTGAGTCTGTTCACAACTTGATTCACTTCCTCCCCGATTTGGTTTGAACTGTCTTTCAGTGCCTCTTCCTTAATCTTGTACTTCAGCTCAAAATAGTGCTTTATCTTTAGAAGACCAATAGCTGAGGATGTCATGGTCATCAGCAAAATGATCATGAGGAACATGATGACAATATGTTCCATCCAGAATTCATAGACGACACCTGTAGCAAATTGGATGCAGATGTTCACAATCATGGTGATTACCAGTATGCCCATGGCCATAAGGTTCATCATGGTTTCCTTGTTCTCAGTGACACCAAGGGAAAGTATGGAATTACCCATGATGGTGCAGATCATGGCACTGCTACTAAGTTTTGCTAGCTGATCGTGGCGATGAGGCATAGGGGTGTTGAGATCCACTGAAAGCTTCACTGAAACTGCTATTATGGCCAAGGAAGTGGCGTTTAAGCAGAAGAATTTGCAAGGGAACCAAAATTTGCGACCTCGAATTCCGTGTATGAGATCCAAGGCCATTGCCATGAGACAAGCAAGAGATGCTGCTGCTATGTATACGCCAATCCATGGCATGGGTTTGCTGAACTTGGTGTCATCCATGTATCCCTCAGTGTTGCACCCGATTATTCCCATCTTCTATCAGTGAAATGGATCCTTCTGTTCTTTGCTTCTTGTTCTGATATTACTGCTGCTCAGGTATGCTGCACATTAAGCACAAACTTCGCATGTGTTTTCTAGTTTTGAAATAATGCTATCTTTTGGTCCACATAATAAAATGATATGGTTTAAAATTTGACAATTCTTAGGGAATCATTAAGGGATATTTTAATGTAACTTACTAATATGTGTTTATATAAATTTAAAAATACTAGTATGGTGAAATGTTGTTTTAGGTAGCTAAAAGCCTTCTAATAAACTGACACGAATGCTTTGGCTGTGTTTGGAGAAATATTCTGGGGCGTTGATGAAGAGGGAGGTGGGGTATGGTGGCACATCATATGGAATTTGTATGGTTCACTTTTCAACTTGTGGAAATTTAATGTATAAGACAACGAATCTTACGTATATAATGATGTCATCAAACAATCCAAGCAGGGGATGTATTAGGATACAGAGTATTACCCCAAGTAATACCGTCACTCACTTCTATGGCTAAGAACTTTACAAAGAAAATCCGTTAAAAAAAAATCAATATAAAACAACTCTTGAAATAAACTTCCAACGTGGATTACGTTTATTATTTCATATTTGTATAATACTATTTGATTATTAAAATTTTATCTTATTAGTTAAAACTCTCTTTGTTATACTTAATTTACTCAAGGTAACGATATTCTAACTTCTTTTTCCTTGATCTAATTTTAGTCTTTAACATAATTTTGTATTTTAAAGTTTGTCTTACACTTAACTCTGTCTTGCATGAGACTTTAATGAGGCGACGTTGAATTAGAATCGTTCAAAGTCGTTCATGTATAGCTCGTCAAAGTAAAAATTCACCTAGTTTATAATTCATAATTATTTTTAAATCTTATTGTGATACCCGTAAACACAACCAATTGACAAAAGCCTAATTTCATTAAAGGCTGTGCCAACCAAAAATAAGAAAGTCACCACAGCAAGCCATTAAAATTGTGGTGAGAAATTTAAGTAATTTGCATTAAGTCAAGGGTTCCAACCTTATTGCCACCGTGGTATTAAAAAATTACCACACAAATCTGATGTTGAACATGACTAGGCTTAATTATAATGGCGAAACCAATAAAAGAATTAGAGTTTTTTAAAAGAAACAGTCAATAAATGAGGAAATAGTATCATCGTAAGAGACAGGGATGTTGAGGGCAATCTTAGGAATTATTTGGAAAGATGAATTTTACAAAGAAAGATAGTTGAAAGTATAAATTTTGTTTTAAATAAAAATATTTTTAATTTAAAATATAAATTGATAAATTATCCTAAATATATTATTTATTGTTTATAAAAATAATATATAACTCTATTATTAAAAAATAAAAAGTCATCTTCTCTTCTTAAACAACCTAAAGTAACTTTATATTACATGGGGCAGGCTAATTATAATTTAATTTGTTATATAAATATAAAGAAATATGAAATTAATAATTCATATGTATTATATTTTTTAGTTTATTTATATGTTTAATTTTTCTATATAATTAATGTAAAATTTATAATTTAAATTTTTAATTGAATATAATTTTTAACTTCTTAATTATTATAATAAAAATTTTCAATACTTTTTATTTTTAAAATCTCTTTCACTCGGAACGTCACTAATTCACTAAAAAATGAATGATCGTTTTCTTTCTGGCATTTTGCTTTAATGTGAAATATATGAGATGTCTAGATAATTTTGATTGAAGGGACAGTGTAGACAAACTTAGTTGAGTCACTTTCCATTAAAGCTTTGTGTTGATTTACCATCTAAATAACATTTTTCACTAATGTTAATTCAAAAATACGTTTTATGAGGCAAGATTTCTCAAAGTAAAAAATTATAGCAATACAAACTATATTTGATAATGAGAACAAGTATTAAGTTCCAAGATGGAAGTATTGGCAAGGAAAATATTAAAATGAAAAATTAAGTTAAAAGACTTTATTAAATAAAAAATGGTTAGGATACTAAACTAAAATATATAATAAGTTTGTTCACTATTTAATTTAAATAAAAGGAGGAGTGGAGAAATATTAACAGAAGACATAGAAGAGAGATTTTAATGGAAAAAGAATATGTATTTTATTTTATTAATAAAAAAGAAGGAAGGCACAAAAGTAAAGGATTTATTACTATACATTTAATATATTAAATATATCTATTAAGTTAAAGATAATTTTGTTTAATTTATTTAAAAATTCTCTTTTTTTTAATTCTTTCACTTTTGAAAAATAATTAAAGTTAATTGAAGAAGAGTTTTCACCTCCTTTTCTTCTTCGTAAACTGTTGAATTAAACATAAAAAATATATAAAAATTATCTTATTTTTCTGAAATCAAATCCTTTATCAAAGAATAAAAACATTAATTTTATCTATCTTTAAACATCCTATTTAAAAGTCTCTATCAGTAATAAAAAAAAAAAAACACATCCTTAATGTGTCATGATATAGATTTTGAAAGTTGTGAAAAAAATAAATTATTTTCTTAATCCTAAAGTTGTATATTAATTTGGCTGAAAGTTTTGTAATTTTATTTATTTAAGATACTTTTTTCAGTATTATCTTTTAATTCAATTTCATTTAATTATTAATAATAGAAGTTAACGTAAATAGCTCTATTTTTATTGAATGTTTTAGGTATAATTTAAATTAGTTTAGAAGTTACTGTATTTATATATAGTCTATTTTTTTATAAAATTACTAAAATATGAGTTTTTAGAAAAAAAAAATACTAAATATAATTTTTGTATAAGATCATGAATAACATTTTTTAATGGCAAAAAGTTAGTTACTAAAAAAGATCGCTAATGATAATTTTTGGAAAACAAAATAATTTTTATTATACATAAATATTGTTATTGGCGTATTTTGAATTAAAAAAATTATTTTCTACACAAAATCATTAACAATAACTTTTAAAATAAAAAGATAATAAAATCGTCATTTAACAATGTCATGAGCATTTTTTTTAAATATCATTGATAGTTAGTTTTGAATTTTGATTTATAAATACATATTTCTCATTAGTAATAAATTGCAAGTGGTAGCAAATTGCAAGTGAAGATCAATGTGTTTCTTAATTTCTTTGTTTTGTGTTTGAAAAGAAAAATAAGTACAAGTATATTAGTATACTTTAACTGGGTATAAAAAGAGTTACATTATAAAAATTTACCTCAATCCAATGATAAGTGGTTACATATTCATAAAAATATAAAAATAAAGGTAATTAAACACAAAACATATATAATAATAAATAATAAGAAAAAAAAATTTGTGACTAATTTACTCTAATAGAAGTATAACTATGTAATAAAAAAAATGAAAAAAGAGATTGGTAGAGTGTAGTATTGTGTAAGATCCTTTTTACATAAAGCGTTTAAATTCATAAAAATAATAACTTAGCCTATGAAAGATTTATTTTATCTATTAAAAAAAATGAGAGAAAAATATATAATTTTTTATTTTTAAATTTGAATTTCATATTAAAATTTAAATTTAGTTTCGAAATTCGCTCATTTTTTGTTTATTTTAACAACTTTTTTTTATAATTTGATATCTTTTAACAAAGTTGTTTTAAAATACAATAAAAAATAAATTTAAAAGATATAATAACAATTTAAAAAAATAAGTTAAAATTTTATAAATAAAATGACAAAGTGACAATTTATCACTTTTTCTCTTTAAAACCCTAATATATTAACAAAAATTTAATTTATTAATAATATATTTATTATTATAAATAATATATAATTATTTTAATTTAAAATTAAAAAAATATGTTATTTCTTTTTTTTTTTTAATTTCTCTCAAACATATCTTGAGATTATCATCACGTGAAAAGATTATTTTATTTTTAACCTTTTAACTATTTTTAATTTTAATAAGGCTTTAATTATTGAAAATCTATGGACTAAAAATTAAAAATAAAAAAATATTTATATAACAAAATTAATAAATTTTAGACACGAAGATGATTATCACAATCACATTCACTCCCATCCCGCGAACAACTGGAATTTGTTCTGAATTGTTTGTGGGGTTTGGAATTGCGAATTGAGAAGTTGAGAGGAGAAGGAAATGGGAACTCGAACAAATTTTTACAAGAACCCTTCAATCTCATACAAAAAGCACTTCAGCCTCTCCTCCGTTCTTCAGAATCTCCAAGGTCACTCTCCGTTCTCTTTTTTTCTTTTCAATTCTCTCTATAGTTTTCTCAATTCATCCATTTTCAAATTTCAGCTTACAACATCGCCACCGGCCATGTTCCTCCCGCCGATACACGGCATCCCCCTCATGCCTCCTCCTGCAAACGTCGCCGGAATCGCCAGCCACCGCATTCCCCTCACGATGACAGTAACGATGATCCTTTCTCTATGTCACATCACGATTATATCCAAAAGAGAAGGCACCATCAATTTCGTTACTAAATTTTATGCTTCTTACTTCCTCTCTATGCAATATGCGTTTTTCTGCTCACTTTGCTTTGTGAATTCGTAAATCACCATAACTTGTTCCTTGCCAGGAAAGAAGTCGATTCTTCTCAGAATCACGATCGCATTGAGTTGACTGAAGATGTTTTGGTAATTTAGGTTATTGCAAGTTGGATTCTTGCTCTCTTGTCTTTGAAGGTTGTTTTTTCGTCATTCCTTTCACATTATGCTTTCTCTGTGCCAGGGAAACCCTGATTCTGCTGCCCCTTTGGTGGATTATGCAAGTGAGCTCTTTGAAAACTTTTGTATTACTTTATGCCACTCTCATCAATACTGTCAGTGGATGATAATCACAATTTACCAAAAAGAAAAGGAAGAAAAACTTCTGATCATAACAGAAAAATTTCTTAGTTACACACATCTTACCCTTGCTCATATTGGAATATATTCTTTTCCTGTGACAATGTTACAAACGATTTATATTTTTTTCTCAACCAGAGTTGTAGTGTCATAAAAGCATCATTAGTTATATTCAAAAGATGGTTTGGCTCTGTATGATTCCCTATATTTATTATAGATTCAAGGATATATAGAGAAAGAGCAGTCGGCGAATGTATCGAATTTTAGTCCTATTCAAAGTATCAGAGTTGTATTTCCAAGGTATTAGTCAATAAGTTTAAAAAAATAAAGAAATTGCAGGAGACTTTCTGGATACATATCTATGATATCTATGGTGTATCAATATTGGATATGCATATGACACTGATACTTTGCCATTTTTGGAGTGTCTAAGCCTCATACCTTTGGTGTTTTTTTTTTTTTTATTTATTTTAGAGTGCAAACTTTTACCTAACCAACTATTAGGTCATAGGTTGTGTGATATTATTGTTGCAATCATGTGTACCAAAGTTTAGACGTACGGCATTCATAACTGTAAAATCTAATTATTGACTTTGTTCTATAAAAAGAAATTACAGGCTTGATCTAACTTAGATCTAACTTATGATAATATCCAATCCAACAATTGGTTTGAAAACATTTAACTTGTAGTAGTAATTAAATGGAAAAAAGTGTGTCAAGTTGTGTATATATGTATATGAAGCTTTGAACTGATACTCTTGATTCATTTAATAATTTTATTGCTGTCTGCTGATTTTTATTCCACCACCTTTTTGCCTCTCCAATCCTTTTTGGTTATTTATAGTTTATGAGAAAGGAATCTACCTGTTGTATTTTCTTGGCTTATTGAGTATTTACATGAGATGACACACCAATGCTTTATTTTCCGGGAAAATTTTAATGAAAATATAGAATTAGCTGGCAGTCTGTCTATTCTTCCAATAATTTCAATTATATTTATGGATACTTAGGTGATGAAGATATTACTTCAAAATGTGAACAAAATCATCATCTACCAAATTCTGGTTTGTTTCTCAATCTGCAAGTTTAAACTTATGTTTTTGCATCATTTGAATTTTTTTCTTCTCATTTCCATTTTACCATTTATTGAGTTTGGATGTTGCTTGCTTAAGGTCACAAAAAAGAATTTGATGGTGTCAAAAGCAGAAATGAGCAGCGATTTCCTGTCTCTGGGGAACCTGTTTGTATCATATGTGGAAGATACGGTGAATATATATGTAATGAGGTAAGTTATGTGATATAAACATTCTTTTCAACTTTTTTGCATTTTGGAATGACTGTGTATAATATTTGCTTGCTTTCGCAGACAGATGATGATGTCTGTAGCATGGAGTGTAAAAGTGAACTTCTGGAAATTCTTAAACTCAATGAGGTACTTTTATGGTTTTTTTGTCTGAAAGTTTTGGCCTTTATAACTCCTCAATAATCAATTTGTCATCCATAATGTTTTTAGGGATCCTCCCATGATCAAGTTAGAGATCTGTCCTCATCTGGAGGTAGTGATGCCTTATCAACTCCAGTCTTTGGTGATGATACCTGGGATTATGATCTACATCGCTGGTCAAAGAAGAGATGTAGTCTTTCTACTTATGAATGGTAAATTTATTTGTCAAATACCAATGCTTCTATAACTTAGGTAGTGTGTAGCTCAACTTATTTTGAATTTCTCTGCTCCTTAAAGGGAGAAGTTAAGCCAAATAAATTATAAGAAAATGTGCTTTTAAATAAGTTCCATTTATACAAAGACAATTTTAAAAGGTGGGCTTTAAAAAAAAAAGAATAGTTTTAGGAGCTTTTCATTTCTACTTTTCCTTATTGAATTGTAGAATTACTGAACAACTCTGACTTTGAATTTAAAGTTCTTATTTTTAATTTTAACTTTAAAGCAACTTTTAGCTCCAAAAAGGTTAGGCCAAACACTACCTTTAATGGGCCTCTCTAGTTTTTCAATTGACATGACAAAGAAATTAAGAAAATGGTTTAATATGTTATTTTCTGCATATAAAATGACGCAGCTATAAGATACAATATGGATGCATTTAATCAGTTAGTGGAAATTGTGCTTATATGCTTGAGGAACTTCAACCATGAAAATCCTCATTCCTATTGATGGCGATTGCATGCTCATATACCAAAGCTGTAGACTTGCATAAATATATTTACTTTCTCCTTTTCTGCTTTGATCTATGTTTACATGTTTTGTTTCATTGTAGTTGGAAATGTCAAAAACCTGGCCACCTGGCCGAAGATTGTCTAATAAAGAGTTGCAGTCAGGTTTGTCATCAATTCTTTTCATGCATAAAAGTTTACCTTTTTCTTACTATAGAGAATTGTGTTATTTGATATTTTTTATATTTTATAATCTAGATCACAGCTGGAAGTAATGGATCTAGTTCCATCCCAAAGGATCTTGTTCAATTGTATAGAAGGTTTGGAATTTTTTGTTTATTTCTTATCTTCTCTTGGTAATTCTATGTTTCTCTTGTTATATTTTTATTTAATTGGACTAGCTTGATACTAGTAAAAATACTGACACCTTGTTCACTTACTATCAAGTATCTTTCTGCAATGTTAAGTACTTATTCTTTTTATGTCTAGTCTTTCTTCTTAAATTTCAATTGATATCCAAGTGCATATTTTGTCTTGTTGAGCTGTTATGCAAATGATAAATATTTTATTGAAAAGTTCACATGCTTTGTGCTTAATATTGAATTTTTGTATGACCCTAGGGGATATAATTTTTTTTTTGTGCTTCTATCCTTGAGCCAAAAGGGAAGGGATGGTGGTGATAGAATCACTTGGATATTTGCTGATTGAATTTTATTTTCCATGCTGACTATTGAAGTGTGAAAATTAACTTGAGTGGTTTTAGAATACTGTTTTACGTGTGGTTTTTTTTATGCTTTGAACTTCCTCTGTTATATTCTCTGTAGTGCATGGTCTTCTTGAATGATTATACATTTATTACTCTACTGTGGAGATTGCTGTGTAAATGAAACAAACTAAGTGTATTTTTTGTTGACTTGCACAGATGCCACCAGATTGGTAGAGACTTGTTGGCTGCTAACTGTAATGCGTGCCATAGATCATCAAATTTGGCAACGTGCCTTGATTGTAGCATTGTCCTTTGTGATGGGTAAGCTGAAAATTTATACTCGGCTTATGTAACTTGTCTCAGTTCAGTTATTATTCTATACATTATCTTATAAGATTTTGATGGGAAAACTACTAATATATGATGATAATCAAGCATATGTTATCATATTCATAAGAATGCTGGTAGTTGATGCTGTGCAACAACAAATTATGGAAGATGTTTTAATGTTCCGACTTTGAGACAGTTTATCTTTTGAGTGACATAGTAAGCAGCTTTTGTTGTCCTATTGTTTATGTGCTTATAGTTGGTGGCTTGGCGCTATGTTTTACTATGATCCATACTCTTGTCCAATCAAATAAATTTGTGCCACAACATGTTTGTAGTTGCTGCTACCCTTATGTATTGTTACTGTAGAACATATAGTAGAGCCAAAAGAACTTTGAATGGATGCCTGGATAAAATATGGAAATTCATTATACTTGAGAAATTGGCTTTAACTTGAGATGGGAAGACTACAATACTGTAATTCCTATGCATTATTCTCCATTATTTTTCTGACTGTGATATTTCTGCATTCTAATTGATTCTAAGATGCCTATTGTGCAGGGCAGGTCACTTGGATGAGCATGTACGAGCACACCCTTCCCATCAAAAATATTACTCGCACAAGCTTAAACGTCTGGTGAGTTTTCTCCTTTTACTTTACCATGCTTTGATTGAATAAAGGTTGAAATCTTGAGTTTATTTATATGATATGAATTCATTTTAGCACGAGTGTCTAACATCTTTTAAGCTAAACTTTGTAATTAGTCTCGAGCATGTAATATTTCAGCTACCAATATATAACTCTCTGAAATTTAATGGAATATTATATATGATATTTGATTCATTCAGTTCCCCTTTTCACTCTCAACCTTTTCTTTTGCAAGTCTTGTCCAAGAAAAGGATTAATGAATTGTTTAGATTACAACTTATGAAGAACCAAATAGCCGGGGGCAGAGATGGGTGGATGAGTGGACCAAAGCACCCAGGGAGGGGGGGGTTTGTGTTGCTGGGGTGACACACATACCGATGAAAACAAAAAAGTTTCAATATCTTTGTGCACAAAAGGTGCCAATATCTTTGTGCTCCCCGTAATATGTATTGTATTAGTGTATTACGCAAATTGTGAGTGGTGCAACCCGAAAGATACCATTGAGGATGTATCACGCGTGCACACGTGTTCCATAAGATATGTATGAATTACAATTTTGTTTCATCCTATCTGCCTATCAGCTTATGTCAATTCTATGTTAATATAGGTTAAATGCTGCAAGTCAACATGCAAGGTCACTGAAATCAAGGATCTCTTGGTTTGCCATTATTGCTTTGATAAAGCCTTTGAAAAGTTCTATGACATGTATACTGCAACATGGTAGGTATCTTCAATTTGTCATATCATTTCCCCGTTTCTTAATCAACTTTTAAACTTTGCGATTATATAAACATATTTCCAGATTGAATCATACACGCATGTGAAGTTTTGGCAGTCTTTTTTTATTGCCTTTCCTTCTTGAATTATTAGGTGGAGGGCATTATGGTAGATAATTTACTTTTGGACTAAAAATACCAACTCTTACGACTAACCTTTGGTTTAATAGAATCAGAATATGAGATTGTCATTATTTAACCTTGTTTTGTAATTCATGTATACACGTACAGGATAAAGATATCTTTACTCTTCTGAGTTTATGCTTTATGTAATGTTAACTTTTATCTCCCTTTCTTCTTTTACTATTAGCTTAATGCATATTTTTTTTTGCTTGTCATGTGAAGGAAAGGAGCCGGGCTTTCAATCATATGGGGTTCTATATGCTGTGAAGACCACTTCACCTGGTAAGTATTTGTCACTACTCTAAATGAGAGGTGTGTGTGGTTCATAGATATCTTAGATGTGTTGGAATTTTGGATGTCTGGGCACGAGGTGCTTGAATATTATTTGGTTACACTTGGCAATCTTTGATATTATACTATTTTGTAATTTTGTATATATAATACATAAACAGTATCAAAATTTGCTACACTTAAAAGTCTGCGAATTTTAATAACAAGATCACAAATTTTTATCACATAAAATTTTTCATTTTTAATTTGTCCCTTTTTTTTTTCCTATGATATACTTATATACCATACAATTAATAAATAAAGAATCGTTGCATCTTTAATTTATGATTGTGTTATTTAAATTTTTAATAACATCTCTTGTTTTAATGTTACTTAAAATTCATAAATTGCAGAACACATTGATATAAATTGTCACTTTAAATTATGTTGTGATAGAGTTAATGAGATAGTAAAATTCATGAAAAATTGGTCCTTGTGTCACCATGTCTTTGGCAAGGCATGCCCACACATAAATGGACATTCCGGGTGAAGTGGGCATCTGAATTGTGTACTAGAATTTTATGCCCACTACTGAGCGCAAGTATCGTGGCCAGACATCCATTATACATAACTAAGGCTTAGGTAGAAGGTATATGTGTCATTGTTTCATTTTTCAATGTTCCGCTCAAAACATTTTTTATTACCATGGGCAGGCACAGGATGAATTGTTTGAATGCCGATGTGGAAGAAAGTGCGTACATTATAAAAAGCAATGGCCATAAAAGCAAACGTACTCAACTTAGTGACTTCATTTTTTGATGGTTGAAAATACTTCGTATTACAACTAATTAGTCAATTTGGAAGTTTGTAGCTAGTAAGCAGCTTAGAAGCTGATTAATCTGTTTCTTACTATTTTCAATTTAACAGATAATTGCTTTCGAGCAATATATATTTGTACAGAATTAGTTTGTAATTCAATATTTCAATGCATTAACTTTCGTTAACGAGTCTTCGTCGAGAAGGCAAAATTCTGCTTGTCAATTACCATCAACAATGTTCGAGATTGGTGGAGGTTCTTACCAGTGGAGAGTTTCTTGCATCATATTTTACGTTTTCCCAACAGTTAACAAACACACAGGATTTTTTTATTTTTTATCATAGGTTAAATTTTATTAATAAAGCCCAATTATAAATACAGTAAACAAAAGCTAATGTAGAAAAGATATATTTCTCAGTCGAACGTAAAATAGAATCTGTTACTTTATTCTTATTTGTTAAATTATTAATGAAAACACAGATTTCAGTTGAATAGTAGACACCTAATTTTTTGTTGTGGTGAATTTATATTTTGCCCCAAACAAATCCCTCCAAAATGCTTGGAATTATGTGTCTTGCACTTGACATTTTCTAAAGTTTGAAATTTTTAATTTTATGTTTTCTTAGAATTTTATATGTTAAACACATACTAAAGAAATTATTGTTGTGCAATTAATTATGAAAATTGATTCAATTCTTAAAATTTTGAAATCTCGTCCTTTATCTTTACACATACTTTTACCGGAGATAATATTTTTTTCATCACATTATTTGTTATTATTATTATCTTATTTTACTGAATATCTAAATATTTCTCCTTTAATATAAATAATTTTTGGGGGTAAAAATATATATTTTAGTGTGACAACGCGAAACTAGAGAAGCAATAGACGATACGAATAAACAGGTTGAAGATCGTGGCGTACTAATCGCTTATATCTCCGTTGGGGTTAGGGTTTGCAGAGTACTGAATATCGCTAATTCCACCGTTTTTCCGATTCCGTAACTGCGTGCAACAGTGTTCGATAATCTACTTCGTCCTTCAAATTTTGAGTTTCCCATCCCAGAATCGGTGAATTGTTGAGCAGAGAAATCGAGAATGGGAGGGCATGGAGGTCTGAACATTCTCCCTCAGAAGCGTTGGAACGTTTACAATTACGAGAACAGAGAGAAGGTTCGTCGCGACGAGGAGCAAGCCGCCAGAGAGGAACAGCTTAAGCGCGAGCAGGCTCGGAAACGCGATGCGGAGTTCCGTCTCGAGCGTTTACGTTCCGCTCGAGGTTTGGCACCGTCGCTTCCCCCTCCTGAACCTGAAGCCGAACCTAAGCCTTCTTCCGATCCTGGTCACATCAACCTCTTCGAAGGAATTAAGATTTTCGACCCAATTGGAGTGCCTCAGAAAGACGGTGCTGAGGAAAGAGATGGGCCGAAGAAGAAGAAGATGAAGAAAGAGGAAGGAAGGCCCAGCAGTGTCGTGGGCCCAGAGGATGAGAAATATAGGCTTGGTTATGGGCTTGCGGGGAAGGGGGTTAAGTTGCCTTGGTATCTTGAGAAGCCCAACGATGACGGTGTTGATGTTGTTGAGGATGAAAGGTGTGGCGGCGATAGGAGAGAGCGTAAGGGTGAGAAGAAGAAGAAGAAGAAGACGTTGGAGGAATTGAGGGAAGAGAGATTGAAAAGGGAGAGAAAAGAGAAGGATAGGGAGAGGGCTTTGAGACAGGAGAAGGTGCAAAATCACAGAGATGTTTATGGACGTAGGAGGTTCTCCAGATGAACATAGATTTTTCTATTCTCTTTTCATGTTTTGATTTGGTAGCTTTGTATCAGGAAAATTGGTTGATATTTGATATAATTAATCAAAGTGGTTTGGTTTGGTTTTCTTTCATGAAGTTATTTGATGAGTTGGTACACCAATGCTTCCTTTTCTAAGGAAAAGTTATATGAAAAAGATGGGTGTGTTTCTATGATTTTCATTTATGCTAATAGAAGTTTAGATGATGAAGATACTCCTTCAGAATGTGAAGAAACATCAACTCTTTCAAATTGTGGTTCGTTACACAATCTGCAAGTTTAAACTTTTTCTTTTGCACATTTTGAAAACAAAAAAGATCTAATTTCCATTTTACTATTTATTGAGCTATATTTATTGGTCACAAAAATGAATTTGAGAGTCAAAAGTCAAAATTGAAATGAGCTTTGCTATATATCCTCCTAATAACCTTTCTACTATCTGTGGTATAAGCATACAATGAGGTTAGTTATGTGGTATAAACATTCATTTGGAATTGTACTTTACAAGTTCTATGACAAATATACAGGCAACAAGGTAAGCTATGTGGTATAAAGATTCATTTGAAGTTGTACTTCACAAGTACATTTTCTGCAATGACTGTGTATAATATTTGCTTGCTTTCATAGACATATATGATGTCTGCATGGCATGGAATGCAAAAATCGGAAATTCTTAAACTTAATGCAGTTCTTTTTTGTATATATATATATATATATATATATATATAAGATACTAACAATTTTTTATATGCTTGAGAAATATCAAACACAAATATCCTTATCCCTAATGATGGCTGATGAATTCGGATTTCACAGCCATGCACAGATGCACTTGTGCTCGCGCGCACACACACCTGACCACCTAGCTGAAGATTGTCTAATAGAGTTGTATTATGCTTTGTCATCAAATTTCTTCATACATATAAAGTTCACCTTTGTAATGATTTATTTATTCATTAAATTCTCTTATAATCTGGATCACAGTAGGAATAAATCTAGTTTCATTCCAAAGTATGTTTGTGGACTATATTGAAGGTTTTGAAATTTCTTTTTACCTTATCTTCTCATATAACTTTGATTTTCTTCTTTTGGAAAGTAATTCAGAATAAGCCCGATATTCTTCCATAAATAGTTGCTATGGCATTTGTTTTATTTACTATCTGCGTTACTGGCGAATAAGGCGGTGCTGTAATTTTCTAAGATTGATTTGTTGGCACTTCCCGTTGCTGAATTTCAGATTTGAGTGTTAGAATTGTGTATATACATTTTGAATTTAATATTCTGTACGCTACCATGCTAAAGTGTATAATCAGATTTTGCAGTAAGTGGAATGTCGCAGAAAGAAAAATTCTAACGAGTGTGGAGTATCTTAACGTGAAACAGGGATATATATAATTATCGGGTATAGTTTCTACACGTTAAAAGTTCTTGTCTGCGATGTTCTAGTTTTACTGGCGTAGTAACAATCGGAAATTATTTTAGATGCTTATGCCCTCCTCAGCTTTGAATTAGAAAACAAAAGGCAGCAAATTTGTAAGCATCACTAAAAGAACTTTTGATGACTTAGCAATTACGCATACATTTGGATCAATGCAACGCTGGTTTTCCCGTCTGCACTAAGTTGGTCTTTTGGATTAACAATGGATTGGTTTCTCTGTTTTCATAATTTCGTTTGATGAAATGGTATATTTTATTGTCCTGCAGGCAATGACGAAGATAAATGTTACGGATTTATTTACAACGTGTTTTCCATATGTTATTACACTTAGGATCGTGCAGCTCTGTCTTGAGAAATTTATGGCAAATATGCCAGCAGACTTTCTCCCCTCCCACTTTTCAAGAATACCATGACCTTGTGAATAGAAAAGTACCTTAATAGTTTAAAGTCCTTCCTGTTTAGTAAAATGATCAAAATTAAATTGCTCGACCTACTGAATAGAAAAGAATTTATTTATTTATTTGGGGTTTCTTAAGCTTGTACCAGCTGAATCAATTGCTGGGTTGTTTTAATCATTGCCTTGTATTTGAAGAAATTGTTCTTAATAGAATATATGCAATCGTTGCCTTTGAAATAAATCTCCAAACCTGTGATGGCCAGCAACAATGAGGTTACTGCAACTGGACGTTGTTCAGATGCCTTTCGTCTTGGTTTTTTATCGTGTGTTACATAATAAAAATTTATATATATTACATTTTATTAAAAATCATAATATTAAATGCATTAGTAACATCAATATTATATTTTTTAAATAAAATTTTATTGTTTTTTATTTCGTACCCTTGAACATATTCTAAAAATCATTTATGGATTCTCTCCATTCATTTAGTCGTTGACATTCCCATAATCTTCCCCCACTTACATGAAGAAAAAATAATGACGAGAATGGATAAAATAGCTTGTGAAGTACAGGTTTAAGGACCAACAGATGTTGGGTAAAATTAATTTTAAATCGTTGAAGGTTATAAAATTGTTTTTAAATTGATTTCATATATAAATTTTACATTGAAATATGTGTAAAATAAAATAAATTGATTTTGAAAGTTAAACAGACCCAAATCTAAATGATAAAAGATATAGTTCTTCCTGTAAATGGGTGATTAACGTCCTCTTGGAATTCATATTAGAGGCTTGACTTTTTAAAAAGAACCAACTATATTTTTAAAATTGGTATTAACATTTCCCATTTTCCCCCCCCCCCCCCTCCCCTTTTCAAGTTAGACATTTCGTGAACTTGCAAGTTTAAATGTACAGGTTTACCTTTGATTTGTTCAATCGATTATTTGAGTAAGTAGATTTGCCTTTCATGATGGCCTCCATAATAAAAATGGACAATATTGTTGCCGACCTTTAACAACAAAGCCTTTTCCTATTTCCAATTTGTTTATGATGTCTAAAGATAAACGTAATTATATAATTGACTTAGAATCCCATTGGTAAATAAAATATAACTTTCTCTAATTCTCTTCTCAAATAACCCGTTTTTTTAAAGTTTTTAAATAGTAGTCTCTGGTTTGAACTAATCTGTCTGCAATTAAAATTTTATAACACGTTTATTTGTTCTATAGCCTTATTGGAGACTGAGTAGCATCAAGCCAAAAAGTCTACTAGTTAAATTTGGTTGTTGGAACGTGCCAAACCTGCAAAGTCAAATCTTTTAGGTCATATGCTTGGTAAAGGGTATAGCAGCCTTGAGTATGAAACCATGTTAGGTGAATTATTTAAACTAGAATTGTTTACCCAAACGTGACATAAGTGAATAAGAGGTCTAGTTTCCAAATGTAGTACGGCAAGTTTAAAAGCAAGAAGATTATGAAGAAAACAGTTATTAATATGTAAGAAAACAAAATAGGAACCTCTTGCATATATTACAAGAAGAGAAATAGAGGCTGCATTGCTATACTCATATGACCATTGACAGAACGCAGATTTGCATGAAGGCAACTACAAATGATAACCGTTCTCTTCTATACATGGAGAACTTGACGCTTCCCTTGGTAGGTTTACTATTATTCTCTACAATTCATTCTCCGTAGTTTCAACCTTCAGTCTAAATCTTAATATTTGTCTCTTGTCATCAGATTATTTTTCCTAATGCTTGAATACTTGTTAATCCAAAATTTTTTCTTTTCCTCCTTTCATTCCTTGAACCCAGGAAAAGTAACTGAAGTTTATGAGAAATCATACATACAAACAAACAAGTGTGTGAATTTTTCTGAATGATTTCTAGTAATATGACGAATTAGATTGCCAAATTCACTGATTTATTTTGTAATGCTTGATAAACAGTTTCAGGTTGTAGTGATAACAGCGAATATGGAGTGTAACGATTGTATGGGAAGAGTTTCCAGAATTGTCTCAAAAATGACTGGTGAGGTTCCGAAATATGCAAACTCAAACCATATTTATAATCATCTATTTATTATATAATTAGTGTATTAAGTCTAAGGCTTTGTTTGAGAGTTAGAATGAGAGTATATTGCTTTATTACTTTAAGGAATGAATAATAACGATTCAACTCTTCCCAACCCATATCATCTTCAAGCAAACTTGATGAATTTCAGTATAATATGTTTGCACTAATTTACTGTATTATACATTTTTCACTTATCACTCTCATACCCTTCCCAAAGTGTCTTGGTTCTTAGGGGAATTCTTTGCTATATTATTTCTATAGTTATGGAATAGGCTTAAATAGCAACAAATGCACAAATAAAAATCTATCTATTAACTCGAAGTTTCATAACAAAAATGAGGCACTGTGAAAAAATGTGGAGAAGGTTGTCGTATTTTAATTGTAAATTGAGTCATGTTAATCGATTATATGGTCACTCATTCGATAGAAGATGTGATTAAAGACGTATGTTAATTGTACAAAACAATCAAAACATGATTTTGAATACAACAAAATCCATTTATTTTTCTGCAAATGCAAGCCATGCGTGAGTTTACATCTAATGTAATAAAAGCTCTAGCTTACAAGCATTCCAGCTGTCACATACATAATTTAATTTATTTTATATAAAAATTATCAATACATTCAGTCCAATACTTTTTTATTTGACGAAATATCATGTGAAGCCTACTAAAAAAAAGTGAGACACGTTTGAAATTTTACTTAATAATAAATAGCGTATTATTTATTTATTACAATAAACAAATTCCATTATTTTCATGTTAAGGTATTAGTTGGTCTGATTTTTTAATTGTTCTTCTCTTCAAGAATAAAAGTTCCCTCGATTAGTTTTTATAGAAATTCTATTTTTAGGAATTTTGTTAAAAAAAAACCTAAAATCTCCTATAAAATTGTGTTTGAGCTGGCTTTTCCTTTTATTTTAAGAAGTCAATAAAAAAAAAAGCTAAACTAAACACTGACTAAATAAAAAAAACTAGATCAATTATTAGCTAGAACTTATAATAGTATCTTCCTATTGTAAACAAGGATTTTTCTAGCATGTGTAATAATAACAGAAGCTAGTCTTTTTATCCCATTAAGCTAATTTAATTTTAGTAAGTGAATTTTCTTCATGATGCAAAACTACATTGCAGGGTTGACAGAGTACACAGTGGATGTGACCAAGAAAGAAGTAACTATTAAGGGAGATTTCATTGCACAATACAATTTCCGGGAAACAAGATGAATTCTTTTACTTTATTCGTCAGTTTAGCCGTTACGTGTAGGGGGAAACAGTGCCTTAACTTATTTTTCCTTATATAATCACATGCTCATAAACACAACCAATCAAAAATTTAAAAACAATATAACATCAACGAGGATTTTGCAGTCTTTTGTAATTTATTTTTATATCTTAAAATATTAATTGATTGTTTCAAATAAGCATTAAAGTTGCTCTCTTCTTATAAGTTTCTTAGATGTAATAGTAATTTGTTATAACATACACGTAATTCTGATAACACAAACAGAAGGATGTGAGAGCTTTTCAATATAACAATTTTGGAGGCTGTCTAGTGAGAATGAATTTATTATAACAGAGTGTTAAAGTATTAATTTTACGTCAATACTCGAAACAATAACCTAGCCAAAAAGATTAAAAAAGAAAACTAATAGTGAGTTTTATAGAAGCTACCGTTAACCTATCATCAAAACGCCATTCTTGACATGAATAGGTGAGAGAGAGAGAGAGAGAGAGAGAGAGGAGAGTTCTTAAAGATTTATATTATTCGTGGTTATCATTGACAATTTAACATTACCATATAGTCATTAGATGAACCACAAAAAGAAGAAACGACGAACTTCCCCTCTTAAGTTACAAAAAGAATGCATGTTACCCAAAGCATGAGTCAGTTCACAGTAAGAGTAAGCACAGACCCACAACTTCCCTAACGTTTTTTCTACTTCCAAAATGTTATCCACGCAAAAGATAAAAAAAGGAAGAAAGAAAGAAAGAAAAACTGACAGCTGCTGAATTGATCTATTTTAATCGTCATAGTTGCTTGAATAGTCGGGAACAAGGAAACTAAGATAAAAAACTATGGTGAAAGATCAAATCGCAGGAATGCTTAGGTCTTCTTCATGAGATACCCCATAATTATGCCAAGTAAGCCAATTAATACGACAAAGACAAATGAGACTCCACCACGACTTTTGTTGCCATCACGCTTCAGTAGCTCCTACAAGTAGTAAAATTATTGCATTAAGTGTTTCCTTAAAAACCCAGCCCTCATAATCGCCGCACTCCCAAAAGAAAATAAATTGCACATATTGTGTACGAATAAGATCTAAAACAACAGCAGCACATAAAATGGCACTTTGATACAAATGAGATCACACTTAGTTATGTCATTATCATACACATTTTAACAAAAACACATTCACTCACAATTCAGACTAAAATCCTGAACTGATGTTTCAAAATAAATTCATAGGAAAGCAATTGATAGGAAAATATGAAATCCTAGCAGATAATTGCAGATGAGGGGGGAAAACAACTATTTAACACAACTTGACGTAATGTAGCCTATTTAAGGAATTAATGTGAAACAACATGAAGCACAAATAGTAACCATGTCCTGCACAAATGTTCCTAAAACTGAACTCACGATGTGGAGAAAAACTATGTTTATCAGGTTTCTTAATACCAAATAATTGAAACTCACAACAGTACCCAATGTCATGAAAAAGACTGGTTGAACACTCTAAAAACTAATTTAACAAAGAAAATAAGAGCATGGATTCTATTTTCGTCTCTCTCCTCATGTAATCTTGACAAGACCTGTCACTTTTTTCCCCACATCTAACACATTTGTTTTCAGTTACTTTTCAGTTTAAGCAGGGTTTGAAATACATAGTTAGAAAGACTATTTGGTGATATTTCAGAGACCATGACAACATAAAAGAAAGAACATAACATCCAAGGCATATACTGCCACAATAACATAATCAGAACCATTCTCATTCTATCTAAGGGAGCTCATATTACAGATTAAAATCCTCCATAATCAAAAGGTGGATAAATATGGATTAGATAAATGGGTAAATGAAGTTATCAACCACATATACTGTATAAATTCTTACCAGTTCCTGGCGGAGTTTGTTATTTTGTTGAATTGCATTATTCTTTTCTTCAGTTAGCCTTGAGATAATAGCTCTAGCCTGCAACAAGGCAACTATAATCAAAATAAAGTTTCCATACAATATTAATACAGGCTCGAGAAAAAGTAAAGCACATGAACCAATATGAAAAGAGTTTAAATACAATGGACCAGCGGTGAATGAGAGTGGCATGTCATTAATGAATAAATATATAATGTACTAGGAACTAAATAGCAAACATATTAATTTAAAAAAATAAAATTAGTAAAAAATTAATGTAAAAACTAAATCAAACAGGTTTTACCCTCTCTTTCCCTTTTCTCCAAAAAGGCATCCTTTTTTAACAGGGACTATTTGTTTCTCGTGGGGCATTTTAATTTGTTTTTTGCTTTGGTTGCAAACACTAGTAACCTGATCACTTTCATATTTGTAGTTATATTATTTAAGATTCAAATAGATGCTAGATTAGCATGATACAACTGTTGGTAATCCAAAGTAAAGATTACAAAAACTAGAAGGAATGAAGTCATATTTGATTAAAATATACCACAGGGCCTTGAGATGTAATATCAAAAGGCACCACTTTCTTGTTGCTCAATTTTGTTAATCATGACATTCTAGCACTGTCCCAGTGGTATGGTTCTCTCTTTTTTTTATTTACCACCGCATTCACAAAATTGTCATTCAGTTGCACATGGAGTTTCTAGAATCTTCCTTTTTGGCCTTAAGTTTTCATGATGGCAAGAAGCATAGACACTTGACTGAGATTCTCTATGATTACAATGCTAATAGTGTAGACAACATGGCATACAACCATCTCTGTGAAAGAAGCTTGAGACAGACATGGAAGAATTGAAATGGGTATCCACAATGGAACACAAGGAATAAGGTGCAGGGAAGACATCCTGGATTACTAAGAAACTTGGGGACGAGGAATAAAAATTAGGTTTTATTTAGGTTTTTTATATTTTTATTAAATGAAACGTTTAAATTAAAATATTTATTTAGTCACTATTTTCATACTTTTATTAATTAATGACATGTCACTCTCTCATTCACAGATTCACTGCTGATCCATTTCAGAATATATCAACAATATATTATATTTTAAACTCAAGAAAAATAATAAACAAAACTGTCTCTTCCTTTTGTTTGTCAATTCTTTTTTCTGTCAATCCAAGACTGGTAAGTCTATATCAAGTCAACAACCCTTCTTGTTGACACTCAAAAGCATACTGATCCATCAGCTTTGATCTCCCAGGCAAATATGAAATCATTAGTCACATTAGGTGTGTTTTAGGGTACCATTTACCAGCTGAAAATAAAATTACAGCACTCACCCTATCATTTTAAACTTGAAAGAATTTTTTTCCCTCGTGCTTACGAGTGTTCAGACAAAATAGTAATACAAACTGCAACCATAAACTTGTATAAGGAAGTCCATTGTGCCACAGTTTTGTGACACACAAAAGCTTCATAGTGCATACATTCTAAAGCTATATGAATTGACTTAATAAAACATTAGAATCAGTGAATCACTTTAAGTTCAAGCAAGTTTTATTTCTTAAAGCCACAACACAAGTAATCTGCATCCAAGTCAGTATGTATCATATTCCTTCATTCTATATGATTAGCTTGGAAAGTTCACAATCAATAAAAATTGCAGATAGCTTCCGATGGGTAAAAAAAAAAAAGACATTTTGAAACTATCAAAAGTGCAATTTACTAGTAATGAGCCGATAACAGATCAAGAAATGTCTATGCCTCTACTTACTTTTGTTAACAAAAATAAACATAAAAAACACTTAAAACACAAATCTTGGCATTGGAGTTTTCTTGGGAGGGAGTCTATCTACTTTACCTCTGCAGATTTGTCATGAGCCTCAGGTCGTTCAGTAAATCCTCTGGCTACCTGAAATACACAATAATAAAAGAAATCCAAATTGATATCCTTGGAATTTTATGGGGAAAAACGAAGGTTCACCTAAAACAGGATAAGTTAAGAACTCACTTGTGTGGAGTCAGAACCATTGGCATTTCCATTTTCTGAAACAGAACCTCTAGGTGACGACCCTTCCTCAGAACCTTCTGGGACTGGAGATGGTGGTTGAGGTGGAGAAACATACACTACTCTCAATTTGAATTCCTCAACCACATGCCCTGCCTCCTTGTTGAACTATATAATCCAAATGGCACAAATCTTTTAATTTCAGACAACTAAAAGAAATAAAATGAAAAGGCAACTAGCATGGCGAAGTACCATTTCTGCAGTGATATCCTTTGGACTGGCACCATCAGGAGTTTTTACACTCTGAAGCAGAAACTTATCCTTGCATTGCATATCAGATGGAGCTTCTTTTTGTGCTTGCATGGTAACTTCAATTATATATAAAAAAAAAAAGTCACCAATCCATCTATTGGCAATAAAACATAACCAAGAAACAAAAAGTAGTAATAACTAATAGCAGAATAATCGTATTAGTACCCATAACATCACATGTAGATCGCGGCAAGACAATTCCAGTGTTCGGACGAACACAGTACTTCTTGGGATTTGTCGTTTTCACCTGAACAAAATCAAAACATAAACACCCAAATTTTGCCTAGTTATCGCACAAACACAGCAAAAAGTGGCGAAAATCGTTTGTTTCAACCCTACATTACGCAAAAACTAACACGCGAATCACGTTCACTTCGCGAGAACCCTCAACGTTGCAATAAAAATGATCAGATCTCACAAGAGAAGCAAAACTAAAATTCAGAATCGAATCGAACTCCAAATTAACAAAACACACAGGGCGAAAGAAAATTGGCATTACCTTGAAAGCTACATAGCTATCGGTCTTATTAGACAATTGAAGAGAACACGAGATCTGCTTCTTCAGCTCAACTAAATCAGGAACAAGAAACAACAAAGAAATGAAACAGGTGTAACCCTAAGAGAGAAAAAAACAAACAAAAACAGATCGATGGAGTTAAAGGGAAACTCACAGGGGAACTTGAGTTCGAGAGGTTCGATGTTGAGGAGTTCCCCAGTGCTCATATTCGAGATCGAGATCCAAAGGAATTGGAATTGGAATTGGAATTGGATTTGGAATTGCAATTGCTGTGTGAGATTCGGTTTCCTTTTTCTATTTTCTCTGTGGTACAGAAAGTGGCCGTATCAACGTGCGTTGAAACTTAGAAACAAACCAATTGCGACAAAGTTTTTGGAATTCAGTACCAACCTCTCTCTCACCAAACCATTCAATTTTTTTTAATTAAAATTAAATACGCCACCTTAATATGCATGGTTAAATGAGCTTCTTTTTTTTTTTTTCATAATCACTTATTTTATTGATTTTTTATAAAATTATAAAAATAATAAAATATTCAACGGCAGTAATGTAATTTGTGATCAATTTCCTTTATTTAATTGAATAAATTGTATATTTGTTTTAAGTAATGTAGTATTTTTAATAATATTTTTATTAATATGTAAAATATACTAAACAAAATTATATATAGTTGTTATTGTAAAAATATTGATTATTTTTTTATTCGGTAAGAGATTTGATAAAAATATTTAAAATTATTTAATTATTTTTAATACTTTTCTTTTATTATACTTAATTTAATATAATCTCAAAAAATTATATTAAAAAAATAAATATATTTATTTACATGAATAATAGATGAATTTCTTATTAATACAAGTGTATTCTAAATAAGAGTAAAAAAAATTCGCAATAACCATATCTTACAAAAGGAATTATAGAAAATATTATAAAAAATACTTAAACTTAACTCTAAAAATAAAGTTAATAAAATTATAAATATAATATAATTACTAAAATAATTACATTTATCATAAATAAATATAATCTCATAATCCATTAATAAATATTTCTGTGACGTTGTTTTAGTTTTTTCGTTCGTTCCAACAATTATACATACACATTCATGCATGTATAGATAAATAAAGTTTTAACAATTGTTTTTAAAACACTATTAAATTAGTAAATCTTGTTAACGAGTATTTTATTTTTAAAAAATAGTTAAAAAATTTAATATATATTATTTCACATTTAGTACTTAAAAATATTAATTAATTTTACATTTAAAGTTAATAAATACTTTGTAATGAAAAAATATATTTCTGATTTCTTACTCCACGCTCTAGTATTGATTGCAGTCGCATAATTAATTGAAGGAAGAAGCTATCATAATTTTTATATGTCTATTACCATTTTAAATAAGCATTTAAAAAAGAATTATATTGTTGATTTGGTCAACTTAAAATTAAATAAATAGAAAGTACAATAAATAATGGGAGGGAGAATAAGCATTTCTTGAATTTATTAGGTTATATAATTTTGGTGATGGCATGAGAATAGCTTATAAATACGTGGATTTGAAGGACTTAATTATTGTATTATAGAATAAGTTAAGAATTTAGAGCCAAACAATGAAGATTAAATATCACCTTTTCAATCATTAGACCAACTTGCTTGAGTGAAGGTACCTGTTTTTTAGGCACGCAAATAATGTACATGTCACTTATCACTTGACAAAGGACCTTTACATATTTTTAATACTACTAAGTAAGTGCTTATCAAATGACTGATTGTGTAAGCGATGAAGAAAAGTAAAATTTGGTGGGGATAGTAATTAGTAATAACGTTTTAAAGAAAAGGGTAAATGTCTTACGAAATCAATGATTCTCGTCCTTTTAAGGAGCGTCAATAATTGGCCTTTTAAGGCCCATCTCAATGATTGGTCAATGGTGAGGTCTGAACCTAACCTATAAACTCTGGAACACCCACCCTTCAAGTCTTGACCCAAGAGAAACTACACAGTACATCCAATTCTGTCTCTCCATCTGTTCATATACTCTCTTCCCAATTCGTTCATATTTTAGATCTTAACTTTATTTTATATTTTTTAATTTAAAATATATATTATCTTAAAAATATAAATACTATTTAATATTTTTTAAATTTATAGGTATAAAGGACATAAAGAATAGATTTAGAATTATTCTGTTATTTTTTTAAAAGTTTTGATGAACATTTGATAATTTTCTGCCCTAAAAAGATATATTTGTACGCTTCAATCTTTTTCCTTTCTTTTGGATGATTACAAGGATTGAAAAATAAGTTTTTTTAGAGTCCGATTTATGAAATTTGTAAATAATATATGGGTTTTTTTCTTGTAAAGATAAAAAAAGATATTACATTTTTAAAAAATAATTCAAATTTAATTATCAAATGCTTTTGTCAGAGAGTTGTTTTTCATACTTTTTCTTCACCTAATAATTTTTTAATAATTTTATTTTGAAAATATCATTTATGATTATTTATTATTTTTATTTTTATTTTAATATATAATTTAAAGTTTGAGAATTTATTTAAAATTGGCATTTAGAAACTAAATTGTGAAAGTTTATATTTTTCAAAAACTTAAATTTTTGTATTCAAATCACGATAATTATGTTTGAATTAGATAAAATTATTACAGGTGACAAAGTTTTCTCTTTAAATATTTAACATGGTTGCATTAACAAAGATTTAAATTCAAGATTACAAATTAAGCATTAAAAATATGAAAACATTAATTTAAAAATTTTTAAATTTTATTTTCTAGATCTAAATGTTAATGCTTCAAAGTTTCTTCCCTTCATTCATAGTTAAGATTCTTCACCTACTAATGTTTTTATCTTCCAAATATCTTCTATTGGATTTAAATAATGAGACATCTTTAGAACATGACGTGCATCAGCTTGAAAGTAAGGACCCCTATGTAGAAGGTAACATGCATACAAAAGATTCATTAGAAGATAGCATGCACCAACTAAAAAATAATGGCCTAGAACGTAACATTCATTTTGGGAAGTAAATCACAAAATAACTTATATATTTAATTTTGTTTATTTTATTTAGTCCTATTGTTTATTAAATTGTCATAGATTTAAATTTTTATTGAATTTTTCTAGTTTGATGTTTAATCATTAAAAAATATATTGCTATTACTTTAGTTCTAGTTCTTATATGATTTCATTTTATTAGAAGAAAATTACAATGATAATCATCATAACATTCAACTACCACAAGCACAAATTGAAAAGATATGCAAAAAAGAAAAGTTCTATCTAATCTAATGATGAACAAAAAGTCATATATGACGTATTGTTAGATAAAAATGTTGATGAAAAATTGGGTAATGTAACAACAAGAACTGTGATAATAAAGTTTTCAATTCCTGTATATATAGTTCAACACATTTGGAAATAAGCAAATGATGGTAGTAATGTGTCCCTTGAGCTAAAAAGGGGGCAGATGAAAATTCAAATTGATCTTTCTTAATTTCTTTTTGCTTAAATGAACAATTTTAGTTAATCATAACATAATTTAGGAGACTAAAAGCTCTCAACAAATTAAAATTTAATCTCAATTCCCTTCTAATTTAAAAAAATAAGAATTTTAACAATTATTTTGATTAAGAGATAAATATAAAGGTCTTTCTTGATCCTTTTGTTGATTTCTCTATTTTACAAAAATTAAAAAAAAAGGTAGGCAAAGAAGAAAGAAATTTATCCGAGAAAATATATTTCACTTAAGCAAGAATATGATAAACAAAAACTACTCACCGTGTGATTTTCGCTCAAGTAAGAATCCTTAAACTTAAATGAAAATTTCTCGCTAAGTGGATGTTTCTAATTTAAGCGAGAATTTATTAAATCACATACTTTAAAGAAGGAGAAATGGAAAAAAAAAAAAAAGAAGAATGATAAGCGAAAAGAAATGTTAGAAGAAAAATGTAGGGCATCTTGTGGAAAAGCATTAAGGCATCAATCTTCATCCCTTTTATCTTCTTTTTTTTTGTTATAATTGCCATTATGAATAGCTAAACTTCCTTTGAATTAGATGTAATTTTCAACTCCGATATTTTTTAATAATTTATATAATTTATTTTTTTTATAAATATTAGTGATTTCATTATATTTTAATCAATAGTATTTTGATTTATGATCTACATATTAGTTGGAAAGCAATCTTTAGTTCTGAAATAAGTGAAATTCATTCAATGTCTGTGATGTTAAGGATAAGTCTCAATATATTGATTGGTCTTTAATACTTATTTTTAGTATTGGAGGATTTATTAAATAACTAAAGAATTGTTATTTAATGAATACTCTTAAAAACTTGTATGCAAGGAATCCCTATAAGACAAAATATGTATGCATCTATTTCTATAGGAGAAATTTCTCTGTATTAAATCATTAGAATAAGGAAGAGAATAAATGATGAAGTCCAATTCCTATTTTTAATTCTTGCATTTTAACATTTTTATTATTATATCTTATTCGTGCTCATTAATTTTAATTTTATAAAACTCAACTCATAAATATATGTGTAATTATCAATTTTTTTTTGTCAAGTGTTTAATTAGGATAACAGAATTTATAATAATATGTATTTATGAAATATGACATCTCAATTCATCATTGATCACACAGTTAATTGGTACAATTGCCAAAAGATCCAACAATATACAAAACAAAGACATTTAAATGCATTAAAATCTTTTCTAAAACAAGATAAACTTTTAACATATTTATTTTTTTCTTTTACATATAGACTTTGACAATTTGATACTTCAAAATTTAATTTCTTTTAATCTTTAACTCTCTTTTTAAATGAATTCTCAATTATATCTTCAAATGCATCTTTAATTTTCTCTTCAAATAAGTCATCAATTATCTCTTCAAATAAATCATTATTAGTCTTTTCAACTATATTTTCAAATTTATGTTCAAATGAGTCTTAAACTATCTGTTTAAATGACTTTTAAATGACTCTCCCTATTTTTCCTCTTAAACTTTTTAGTTTGTGCTTTGAAGTTTTCTTTATAGTGCACGTACTCGTAAAATATGAGTTACACTACTATATTAGAACCTATACAACTATTTTTGTCATTAATATTTATTAAAAGTTTAATAGTCATGTAAAGTAACAAGATAGAGAAGAAAAAATAAAGTAAATAAATAAAAATTGTGATAGATAAAATATAGTCATTAATTAAATTAAAATGTAGATCTATAATCATTAGATAAGAGTAAATTTGAAAAAAAAAAGGCATAATATATTGTACAAACTTAAGCATTATTGTCATTTTCACGACTTGTTACTTCACTTAGAATTATCAAATTCCACCTTCCTTGCCCAAAAGAATGAGCTAAGCCTAAAAACCAGA